TAGGTTAACGTATGATAATTTGTAATTTTTTTCTTCTAATTTATTGGTTTTGACCCATTCCGGTATAATCATAATACTCTAGAAAGGGTCTTGAATTCAGATCATGGAATATATGGATGTTATAATAAACAAAGAACACTGCTTAGTCGTCTACTAGTTAAGTAATTAAAAACACTTAAGTATGTCTTAATTAATTCTTAACATAAGTGTTAGTTTGAACAACCTTAATTTGTAATTAATTATAAACAACTTGTTTGAATTATTCTTGTCACTGAAATAAAGCTGATGGCTTTTTCTAGTGGCATATAAAAGGCTTTGATTCGATGGCTTTTCTTTCACATTTTGTCATTGCTAATATAAAAAGGTGGAGTTGGATTCACGGTTACGATGAAGCTTTCCTTCCGTCTGATCATATCATATAGTTCATATGGTTGTAAATTAATCAAAACTAAATCCCAAAATTAATCATGCTTTTAATTAATAAAATTTAAAACTGGTAGTGGTGGTAGTCGATCGGTCCAATAACCCTCCTCACCTAATTGATTTTTTAATTGCAGATATGCTCACACTATTACTTAAAGCAGCATATCTATTAAATTATTAATTATCTATAGATTGACTTAATTGCCTTCTTAATCTTAAGTAATGCAAGTATGTATTTAAAATCGTGTTACGTACGTACGATGAGAAACTAAGCCTGGTACGCGTTCCATGCACATTGCATATAAAAACACCCACGTGACGTACGAAACCTTTTCCTTTTCTTTTCTTCTAATATTTATTAAGTATTAACGAATGCAATTTTATATCTTAATAAGTATGTACAAGTTGTTAATTAAATAAATAAATAAATAAGCATTTGTGTTGTTTATGGTACATATGTTTGGTCACAAATATCAAATTCAGTGGCCTGGCGTGGTTTCAATTTTATCAGTTTTGATCCCGTATTCTGTGTTTATTTTATTTTTTATTAAAAAAATACATAACAAGATACGAAGCACCAAGATGACCTCGCTAAAATCTTGTTGAGACTCTTAATATGATCGAAGGAAAAAGAGTACTATGCACAAAGGAAAATCATTGTTCTAAAAATGTCCGATTAATTTCTAGATGTTTGAAATTAAGAGAATTATTGAATACTTAGATGAACTCTTCAACAAAAAGTAAATAACTTTCATCATCCATTTTATTTTTTCAATTTATAAGAGATTTGTTGAATACTTTAATGAACGCACGTTATACATTTGTTCCTCATGTTTTTTCATAAGTTATTACCTTATAATCTATACGTCATTCTGTTTTGCAATTTATACTCTCAATACAATTATATGTTTTTTAGTATAAGTAAGTATATATTTTTTAGTATAAGTAAACTTATATATATACACATATTATATAATAAATTTAATTAAAATAAAAAAACTACTTAAGCTTTAGGCCCTGTTCGCTGCCAATTAGCTCGTGTTATCTTTTTAGAATCTAACAAATTAGTACCATCCTTTTGAAGGAAAATTACAATTTAAGTCATGAGTGCGGCTTGGGCATAAAGAAGAGGTGTCGACGTTGGAGTTTTAGTTCAGCTGACGAAGTTGAAGATCCAGTTAGTTCATTGACACAAATAATATTCAACTTGAAAGTGGTCTAGATGGCCCATATAAAGTTAACACTCAACTTTGAATGAAATCCAGACCCCAACAAATACAAAAACTTGGAATGATAGCCTAATGGGCCTCAAATCTTTAAATTGGTATCAAAATTCAGTTGGGCCTCAAAAACCTTTTTCTACAATATGGGCCTGGACAACTTAAACGAACTAGTCTCATGAGTTTTTATTTTAAGAAGATGATTTTCAGAGTATTTTAGGCTCTCACACATCGCTTTTGATTTTTGATATTGAATAAGTCAAGCAGAAATAACACCCGAGATTAAATGCGAGTGTGTCAAAAGCTAAAAAGATGTATTTATATATTTTTTTATCTTCTGAATAAAAAGATAGAGAACTGAACATATGACATAAATGTATGGATGAATATTCCGTTTCATATGATATATTTTTCTGGAATTGTCAAAAGAATGGATCAATGTGACGTGGATAAGGATGAGAAGGTGTTACATTACATCTCTCATTTTCGCTGTCTCACACTAACACATTAGATTAATTCTAATAAGACAAAATTGATTGCTTAATTATTTAGTGACAGTAGTTGATTCCTTAGTGCTTGATTAGGCAGTGGGTCGCCCTCTTAACGGTCTGACTTCTCCCTACAAGAAAGAAACCTTCATGCCAAAGCTCACAAAAAAATAATAATATACATGTATATAATATATATATATATATATATATATATATATATAAATATAACAAAACCTTACAAAATTTGAGAACACAATTTATGTTTCTTTCAACTCATATTCATCTGCTAGTCTTTTTCTTTGTTAACTAAACCCACAAAATTCTAACTAAACCACCCAAGCACATAAATAATTAAAAAATAGCTAAACACAAGTATAATATAAAAAATGTCGCAACTTGTAACTCAAATAATTAAAAGTATCTATCATTATATGAGAAGTCCAGCAAAGCATACGTCTTAGTAGGTAAATACACATCCCTCATGAAGCTGGCCGATGTTGGCTATTGTTACTTAACCTTTTATTCTCTGTCATGACAGTAAACTTTCATATTATATCTCTCCATTGTTCTCTGAGCTACATATAGAATTCAGTTGTAATTATAAATTAATGATTTTTTTACCATACATTTATGCTCAAATAATTAAAATTTGCAGGGCATTGCATGTGGCTTATATTATGCAAGCCATCCACCCTCATCAAACTTTTTCTTGCATCCTAACACCTTTTATTGGTGCCACCCCCATACTTTGCCCAAATATATCTCACACATTCATACCTATTGCTTTGTTTTACGTAGGCCTAACGAACAGATCGTGTTTGTCGTCATATTCTTTATTTTAATAGATTTTGTTGTGTCAAATTCGTTATGTTACGTGTTCTCAACAAACAATCTAATAACGACCCGACTCCTTAATGATTTGTGTCGGTTTGTGTCAAGTTAATGAGTCAAACAAGAAATTGACATGACTAATGTCTAAACCTTACAAACATGTTGCATTCGTGTCACACCCATTATCTTAACTGGTTCTTGACTAGTAAAACGATAACAACCTGATTTGTTTATGTATCATTAACGTGTGAATCGATAATGACCAGACTCGTTAAAGAGTACCCGAAACTTATTATTTTCATATCAAGTTAACAAGTCGTGCAAGAAATTTCAAAACCGCTGTACTTATATTTTTTAAAACAAAATAAATTATAAAATATTAATCGAATAAACAACAAAATTGTAGTTTCACACCAATCAGTAATTTGCAGACAACAAGAAATTTCAAGCCTGTCATATTTATGTTTAATCATATCGGCATTTCTAATTCCAGAAATAAATAATAAAATAAATAAATAAAACGAAAATAAAAGGAAAATGTTCCGCTCTCAATTTTTTTTCAACAAAAAGGGTGATGATAGATTATATATTATTATATTTCAATGTATGAAGCAAGCGGATCATATGATGATATTATATGCTTAAGTTTGAAGGGTCCATAAATCGGTCCATAAATCGTACTAATAATTTAAAAATTTCCCCAGAAATAGGAAGAATAAATATTTTATCAACTTTAAACGATAAAATTTTAATTATAATTAATAAATAATCTATAAAAGTGTGAGGTCAAGTTTCTAACTCAATCCCACCCCACTGATTGCGATTTGAATCCCTTAATAGCCTTTTTAGCTTTGATTATGCCTATGAGGCAATGATGCAACCCAGCTCCCTATCACCATAAGCCTCAAGAATAGGTGTGTGTATCTTGCACTTGGTGCGCAGCGCGCACTCTTAAAAGGACATCTTCCCATCTTATACCTTTTCCATCCTCTCATATTTTTGTGGTTACAGTTAGACCACGTAAATATTTTATATTAATTTTTTTTTATAGAAATAATAAGACAAAAAGCAATGAGAATATAAAATATTGAGGTGACTTAATCGTGACCACAGAAATAGAAAAGGATGGAAAAGGTATAGGATGGGGAGGGCAGACAATCCAGGTCCCTCTTAAAAAGGCACAAAGTTTTGGGTGACTTAATTTATTATGCAGAGTATGCACCGACGTATAGCGTACACAAGATTCTTGCAATTGATTGTACATTTAGTCATCAATTGTATTGGCACATGCCATAAAACGAAACATAATAAATTTATATTAAAATTGATTAGTTTTCGTGATGCACAAGTGGTGCATTTCTAATTCATTTATAATATTTTGTAATCAAACCCTTGCAAATTTTGACCTCAATCCCTTGAGACTTAAGAAGTTTCTCACCAATAATGTAAGTTTGCAAAGAGTTTGTAACTTAGTTGGCCAATAACATTCCCCTCGTACGCAAGATTCTAAGTTCAAATCTTTATCCTCTACTATCATCTGTATCAGATGAAAAATATCATAATACAAACGAACGAACATCAAGAATTTATACCAATATTGATTAGTCTTTTGTTTAGTGATGATTGTCTTCCTTTGATGTGAAAAATCCACTTACAAAACGGGATTATATTGTTAAGGTATCAAAGTCAATTAAAAATTATTATGCATTTTAATTATTTTTCAACGATGCGTTATTTACTTGAAATATTATCAAAATGACATCACGGATATTTCACATTCAACACACCTAATTGTGATTGTGAATTTGTGAATTTGTGATCGCTTTCAAAAAATTTAGTAGTCGCATTAAGAAAATTAAATCTTGAAAAGGAACATAAAACATGCGGGATTTGTACACCACACACGCCGATCGCGTGCGAACGCTACCGTGCAAAGGAAAGGACGTTAACTTTTCCCGCTGCGTATTACGCACCCCGGCGTACGTTATCAGCAAACCCCTGCTTTTCAAATTTGTCAGGAGTTCACATTTCTTTATAACAATAAAAACCATATGACACCTAATTCCTCCCTCCATCTCTATTGTCTCTTTCTCTCTGCTCTCTCCCGCAAGGCTCCAGCTTGGATGTGCATGGAGTCTCTCTGCCTCCTGGTTTTCTAGGTTTTTCTGATGCTCCGGTGCTGTGCGACAGGTGATTTGCCTCCGCCACTTCTTTGAAATGAGGGAAATTTTCAACCCGGAGTCGTGAATTCGGTGTTTCGGAGGTAATCGAGAGGAAATTTCTAGGGTTTTGTGAAGAAATCGGCCGTTAATTTCGAAAATGCCAGGCAGCGGATCGAAGTCGGAGAAACGGGAAGCTGAGAAGCATCTCCGGCGAGACCCTTATGAGGTCCTCGGCCTCAATAGGAATTCCACCGACCAGGAAATCAAAAGTGCTTACCGAAAAATGGCTCTCAAGTATGTTCTTCTTCCATTTTATTCCTATTTGTCGATTTTTTTAATCAGCTTTTGAGTTCTGAGGTACTTTGTTAGACTTTGTTTATTTATTTTTCGATGAGTTCGAGCTTATGGCTGCAGTAATTTTTGAAGCTAATTTGTATTTAATTTCCTAAATTTGAGCTGTAGCTTATGTAGTTGAGAATACCAGAGTGTGAAATTGGCCGCACAGATTCTTGTTGTTAATTGGATTGTAATAAATGCTGGTAATTTGCGCATTCCAAAGTCAAATGCAACTTAGATGCAAACAAAGACAAAGGCATGAGTTTCAGATGTTTAGGTGTTGGATTTACAGTAGAAAGATAGAAGTTTCCTAGGTACGTTGTTGCGTGAGGTCAATGAGCTTGGTATCCAAAATATGGTTTTAAATTGAATGTTCAATTTATGTGATGGGTTAGTTTAAGGCATCAGATAGCAGTTTCGTATATGTTTTTCCTCGACAATCTTGTATTATGTAAAGGATTTTGAAAATGAGCTGGGCCTTGGTCCGTGATTCCATGTTGTAGTTTGGTGGCTTGAGTGGGTTCAAATCTAACAGAGTAAAAGAGAGAAAAATTATTGATAAATGTTACAATGTATCATTCAGGTACCATCCTGACAAAAATGCTAATGACCCTAAAGCAGCTGATATCTTCAAGGAGGTCACGTTTTCTTATAATATGTTGTCTGATCCAGACAAACGGCGTCAGTATGACACAGCCGGCTTTCAGGTGAGAATTTTTGGGGTGCTTATTGTTGTGCACTATTGAAGATTCATTCACCTTTGCTTTAATCAGAGTCAAATTATTCATCCCACAATTTGGCCTGTTGTGAACTATGGGATTATGTCGATGCATTTTATCTTTTGGTTAACATGAATATTTTTTGCTGGACATGATTTCTTTGTTGGTTGTCTAGGCTGTTGAAACAGAAAGCCACGACTTGGAGCTAGATCTTTCAAGTTTGGGTGCTGTAAATACCATTTTTGCTGCCCTTTTTAGGTTTGGTTGGTTTATTCTGCTCTTTTTGTTCTTCAGAATTTTCTTCTCTTCTCTGAACTTATGAAAGAATTCCTGATGATGTAACAATGTTTTACGCTTCAGTAAACTAGGAGTGCCAATAAAGACCACCGTATCAGCTACTGTCTTGGAGGAGGCACTAAATGGCATGGTCACTGCCCGTCCACTTCCATTGGGGCACTCTATAACGAAAAAGGTAAGCTATCCTTTTTTGGCCTGGTTTATTATTTTAATTATAGTTTTCTATTTATTCATTTATATTTCTGTCTTTTAACAGGTTGAAAAGCAATGTGCTCACTTCTATTCTGTTACAATAACGGAAGCAGAAGCAAGAGCTGGATTTGTGTGCCAAGTGCAATCGTCAGACAAAAGCAAGTTCAAGGTTAAATCTTAGATCTCTTCACACATGGTTTACCTAGAAAGTAACTATTCATTTATGTTCTGCTCTTTTAACTTATCAAGTTTTGTGGACGAAATTGTCTTTTTGTAGCTATTATATTTTGATCAGGAAGAGACGGGTGGATTGAGCCTTTGCCTACAGGTACCAAGACTTTTCACCTTTAATTTTGTTTGGGTTATGAATCATTAGTGTAGCCAGGCACCACAATAAGCTTCTTCCTATGACTGAACTATAGAATTTAGATATAGAGCTAGGTGGCAGATAGGACGAATTGAAGAGTGGGACGGTTTCTTATCTTAAAAGAACATGGTCTTTCTTTTGGATAAAGTCATGTAAAATCAAGGGTTTGCATGTTAATATCATCTTCTTTCCTAATTGATCTTTCTTTGGAGTTGGAGGCGTGGAACGGAGAATGAAAGTGGGGCTACAGTGCTATTATTTTCAATTACTGACTAATATATGCGTAAGAATTACAGTTGCATATCAGCTGCAATATTATATTGGGAACCTTCCACAATGCTTCTTATGAATAATTGTTATGGCCACTGTTAGTTTCATTCTAGACAATACTGTCCTAACTACCAACTTCTCATGTCTATAATGTTGGCTGGGGCGTACGCCTGTTTTATCATGTTAGTCTAAGTTGCTCATTTGTATTTACTTCTGGTGCAGGAGGATAGTGCAAAAACAGGGAAGGTCACATCTGCTGGGATGTATTTTCTTGGTTTCCCTGTATATCGATTGGATCAAACATCCAACTCGGTGAGCTGTTGGAGTCGTAATTATTAATTCTACCTTTGAATTCCATGTTTCTAGTTTTTGTTGATATGGTTTCAGGTTTGTTATCCTAATTGTTCTTATTATGATTTCTGGAAATCTTTTGGCTCTAGATGGCTAGTGCAAAGGATCCTGATGCTGCATTCTTCAAAAAGCTGGATGGGTTTCAGCCATGTGAATTAACGGAACTGAAAGCAGGCACCCATGTGTTTGCTGTTTATGGTTTGTTACTTCTGTTTAACGACTTGTATGTCCAGGTTATTATGTTTATTAGTTATACCGTACTCTGCTAAAGCTCACTACCACCTCGGTTTCATCGCAAATTTGATTGTAGGTGACAATTTTTTTAAAAGTGCAAGCTACACGATAGAAGTTCTTTCTTGTGGACCTTTTGCAGAAGAAAAGGAAAGTTTAAGGGCGGTGGAAGCTCAAATACTTTCAAAAAGAGTGGAGTTGTCCAAATTTGAAACCGAGTACAGAGAGGTCTGTACATGACACTGCATATACCCTTTGTAAATTGTAAATACCTTCACCTTAATTTTCGCATGGCTTTGTTGACAGGTTCTAGCACAATTTACAGAGATGACCTCCAGATACACACAAGAAATGCAAGAGGTGACACTCTTTATCCTATTTTATGTGAACTCCATTTGGATGTCAATGTTCAAGCATATTGGTAATATTGAACAACACTCAGTTTCCATTGTTTTCATTTTGTTTCCTTTTCCCCCTCTTTACGTTGGGTTTCTCAGATTGACGAGCTTCTCAGGCAGAGGAATGAAATTCATGCCTCTTATACTCTTGCTCCTCCAATGAAGCGGAGTTCAAGTAGGAGTAGAAATAAGGGTCAGCCTAAGGAGGTCAAAGAAGATGGTCAAGTGAGAGATAAGAAACCTTCGTTTAGAGATCGATCTAAGAAGAGCAAATGGTTCAACCTTCACTTAAAGGTTGACAAAAGAAAACCTTGCTGACCGGGGTGAGTGTCATAATTTCTTTTATTAGCTTTGCAGCCTTCCATATCGATGATACCTTGATTTTACTTTAAGAGGCGCTATGTATGCTAATGCTGCAGGGAATCAATCAGGCAGTCTCTTTCCAGTTCTTGGTTCTGGTGGTTTTGGCATCCATTTAAGCAAAGTACAAGGTGACCAGAATTGCGTTAAACAACCGCGTAAGGATACGATTTGGCTCCATTAGTCAAGCATGGCATGATGACGGCAGCTCATTGTTAATGTAAAATTCTTTAATTTTTTTTTTTTTTTTTTCTTAATGCGCTTGTTATTTATCCTGTTCCTTTTGCGTCGGCATTGTCATCAAATCACACATGTAAATTGGCACAATTTGTTCGATGAACTCGTTGCGTGGGTACTAGTCATTTTGGATTAAGGAATGAAAAAGTATGGCAGGATTGTATTTGCTTCTGCACAAGCGCCCAACTGTTCTTTGCTAAGTTTATTTTGTTGTACCCGCGATTTCGCCACACGAAACAGACATTACATTAGAAGTAGTTTTCTTTTTGTTTATGAATTTGTAAGCTTGTAATTTCATAAGATACGCTTAATTGCTTGCAAAATTTGCAGGTACATGCCTGGGAGACACAACATTTTCGTATTTGTAAACTCTACCCAAAAAAAAAAAAAAAAAAAAATTACATTGGTTACAACAGCAATAGGTGAGCTCAAATTAAGCTGAAGGTTTTCTTTTCTTCTTGTTCAAGTCTTGAGGTTGTTGAAGGCGTCGCATCGGCGGCGGACCTCGCCCTGGTTCCCAGTTTTCACGTTCATCAAGCTGACCCTCTGTATTGCCTGGACGAAATCCTCGAAAAACTTTGCCTGGTTGGTGGCATAGAGATCCACGAACGGCTTCGTACGAGGATCCGTCCCCAGGGCGTGGTCTGTCGCCAGTAACCCTAGCCCCCTTTGCAAGTTTTGGAAATACAAGTTGTCGAACTTCCCCGGGGTCATGACGTCGTTGAACGCCGACATCCCGGGGTTGGTCGTGTGATTGGCGCATAGCTTCCTCAGCCCCTCCGCGTAGTTGCGGTTGAGGGCGGGGTCAATCTCCGACGTCGGACTGAATTTGAAGATGCGGTTGGCGAACTCGCTGCAGTGGGAGAAGCCGATGGTGTGGGCCCCGCTTAGGGCGACGAGGTCCTGGACAGAGAGGTTGATGGAGGCGAAGAGGTTGATGAGCTCGGAGACGGTCATGCTGGCCTTGGCGTAGTGCCCCTCCGTGCGATCGGCCCGGGAGATGAGACCGTCCTTGCGGCCGAATAGGAGGGTGTAGTGGGGTCCCCCGACCATGTTGATAAGGTTGCGGGTGGCGGCGGCGAGGATGTCGGAGCAGGAGACAATGCCGGGGCACTGGAGCTCCAGGGCGGTCTTGATACGGGTGATCATGTCAAAGCCGTCGCCGGGGATGGCGGCGTTGATCTCGGCGTCCTTCTCCGCCTTGTTGAAGGAGTTGGAGGCGATCAGGAGGGAGGCATCGCAGCCTTCAAGGACGCAGTCGTGGAAGAAGAGGCGAAGGACGGCAGCGGCAGTAGTGGGGGTGGCCATTTGCTTTTCGATGACGACATGGTGGACGGTTTCGTGGAATTTGGGGCATGTTTGCTCGTAATAGTTTTCGGAGAGTTGGGCATGGGTCGCTGTTAGGGTGGGAATGAGAAATACTAGGGTGAGAAGGGAGAAAAGGGAATGGGAATGGAATGCCATGGTTAGTTAGTGAGAGGGATGTTGGAGATGGAGAAGTGCAGGAATCAATGGGGGGAATGTATGTTGGGTTTCCTTCTTGTGTTTGTGCGGGGTGGGGAATGGAGGGTGGGGAGAAGAAGGTATGAGAGTGTTGCGAATTGTTTTCTGTGGAAGAGAGGAATTACAGGGGAAGGGACGGCTGTGCATGCATGCGGTCGACCCTGTTCTATGTGCATGGATTTGAGTTGGACTTGCGAGGGGGCATGATTTTCTACTCCATCTATTTTCGCAGTGAGTCCCCATTTTTAGTGCACCATGATTGTAGGTCTATAGGACCATGATTATAGTTCTATAGGCCCAAGAATTTGTTTGACAAAGCGGAATTGTTATTTGGACCACGTTTTCCTTTTAACTCTTTAATAAAACGAATGTGAGATTTACATTTTGTATTTATACCATCTTAACTGAATGATTATATCAATGTTGATTTGCAACAGAAATTCTTTGTACAAGATAATGTCATGTTTTTAAGAAAGGCAAGACATCTTACAAAAACTTTTAAATTATGAGGCCATTAAGAAATCCTAGACTAGAAACCTAAGCTTTAGGTGATTATATTACACCTTCAAAGAATCAGTGATGTCAATAACGGATCAAAAGTTGAAGAAAAATTGACTAGAAGTGAAAGAATGACGTATTGCATAAGTGGTTAAGAGTATTAACTCCTGCGCTAATTATAATACATTCAAATTCCAACTCTTCGCCAAAATGAATGCCCTTAAAAGATGCATTCCATTATCTCTCCACTAAATATAAGACCCAATTACGTGTGGATATTTGACAAATGAAGTTGTGTGCATCTTGCCTCTATTTAAGAAAATGAGACACCACACATTGAGATAGATCATATAATTTTAGAAAAACCAATGAAAGGTGTTAAAATGCATGAAATAAACATGTTGGAATAATGGTAGGCTAGTCAATTTTCTTGTTCAAAGTTAGGCAAGTTAGGTTAGTCAAGCAAGATAGGTAAGTTAGGCAAAATTAGGCTTATGATCTTTTTCTTCCCTATATATATGTTTCATCTTGTAATTGTTGAGATCAAGCAAATATACATCAAAATTCAATATGGTATCAGAGCTGTGATCTGAAAAAAAAAAAAAAAAAAAAAAAAAAAAAAAAAAAAAAAAAAAAAACCACAAAACACAGCTCTAAAGCAGCCACGAGGTCAACCATTCTAGGCATGGCCTCTCATTCAAAATGGGAAAGTCCCAACCACCCGCTCTATCTCCACCACTCGGATCAACCTGGTGCAATCCTCGTACCACAACCATTGGTGGAAGACAACTACAACACATGGGTTCAATCCATGAGTATGGCCTTAACGGTCAAGAACAAACTTGGTTTTGTTGATGGGACGATCAACAAACCAAGTGAGGATAATTTTGAGGAGCTGCAGCAATGGAATCGCTGCAACAACTTGGTCAAGACATGGCTACTAGGCTCCATGTCAAAGGAGATTTCAGGGAGTGTCATCAACTACAAGGATGCTCGACAAATGTGGACCGATCTGCAGGAGAGGTTCTCACATGTGAATATAGTTCAGCTGTTCCATGTTGAGAACGAGATTCATGATTGCGTCCAAAGCAATATGAGTGTAAGTTCTTACTTCACTAAACTTAAAAGTTTATGGGATGAACGTGATACTTTGTGTTCCATTCCAGCATGCAGTTGTGGAACAAAGAATGAGATGAACTCATATGTTGAAACTCAGAAAACCATGAAGTTCCTTATGGGACTAAACGAATCGTATGATACGGTTCGAAGCAATACTCTTCTTCTCGAACCACTGCCTACGGTGAACAAGGCATATGCATTGGTCATTCGACATGAACGCCAGGCAGAGGTTTCCAATGGAAAAAGCACACAACTAGAAACTGCTGTCTTTGCAGTGAAGAATCTGTCGCGAGAACCTACACCTGAAGACAAGGAGATGCGATGTGGAAAGTGCAATAAAACCAATCACATCACCAAAAATTGTCGTGCACATCTCAAGTGCACTTTTTGCGGATGGAAAGGCCACACCTTCGATTTCTGTCGAAAACGGAAAGCAGCCACAGAGACCGAATCCAATCGTCTCTTTTCTTCAAAGGGCAATCAAGTTTCACAAAGTAATAAGCAAAAGACAGTGCCTAATTTCCCGTTCTCTCAGGAGGACTACAAGCAAATCCTTCAGATGTTGAACAAGAACAAATCATCATTTGCCAATCAAGTCAGTAAGCCTTCTAGTCATGAAGAACTTTCAGGTAAAGTCTTCTCTTTTCCATGTAAAGGAACCAAAAGTATTTGGATCCTGGACAGTGGTGCCACAGATCACATAGTTTGCAGTCCTAGTCTCCTTACACACTCACGAGCTGTTGAAAATCATACAGTTGAACTGCCAGATGGTTCCGTTGCCAAAGTCACTCACATTGGACAAGTTGTTTTCTCTCATAATCTCATCCTTGAAAATGTCCTATGTGTGTCGTTCTTTAGGTTGAATTTAATATCTATCAGTAAACTAGCCTATGATTCCTTATATGTCACCATTTTCTTCACCCAATTTTGTGTCATTCAGGACCTTCGCTCGGGGAAGATGATTGGGACAGGAACTGAAAGGGATGGACTTTACTACCTCGACCCATCAAAGAAAGGAACATGCAACAATATTCAAACCGTCTCACCAAAGCTTTGGCACCAACGCCTAGGACACCCATCTCATAAAGCCACTTCGTTATTACCTTTATTTAACAATAAGGCTTGTGATTTGGAAAAATGTTTAATTTGCCCATTGGCCAAACAAACAAGATCACCCTTTCCTTTGAGCTCTATTTCTACCAAATCATGTTTTGAATTATTGCATATTGATATTTGGGGTGGTTATCAAGTTGCTTCTATTTCAAGTGCCAAGTATTTCCTTACCATCGTAGATGACTACACTAGAAGCACTTGGGTTTATTTGATGAAACATAAATCTGACACAAAAGACATTTTAGTCGGATTCATTCAAATGATTGAGACTCAATTCAATACCAGAGTTCAAATCATACGAAGTGACAATGGCCCTGAGTTTAAGCTTGAGCAATTTTATGTTCTCAAAGGCATCATACATCAATCTAGTTATGTCAACACACCACAACAAAATGGTGTTGCCGAACGTAAACACCGACATTTGCTCAATGTTGCTCGGGCTTTGCTCTTTCAAGCTTGTTTGCCAAAACGTTTTTGGGGGGATGCAATCTTAACCTCAGCTTACCTCATCAATAGAACACCCACTCCACTTCTCCAAGGTAAAACACCTTACGAAAAACTGTTTCACAAAGCACCTAACTATTCCCATTTGAAGGTTTTCGGTAGTTTATGTTTTGCTTCTACACATGCCCAAAGGCCCTCTAAATTCGACCCCCGTGCAATTCAATGCATTTTTCTTGGGTATCCTTATGGTCAAAAGGGTTATAAATTGTTTGATATAAAACACAATAAGACTTTTGTTTCTAGGGATGTTGTTTTTTTTGAAAATCATTTTCCATTCCAAAATCATACCACTTCCGCTGCCCCGTCTCCATCAAACATTACACCCTCATCCATCACGTTTGACTTGACCTCTCCCATTGAGTCGCACTCAAGCCTTGCACCCGAAGACATAAACACCACCTATCCCACACTTACCGACATCACACCACTTTCATCTCCTTTACCTACTACAACTCCACCACCAGATACCTTATCAACACCTTCACCATTCTTACCCACCTCCACATACCCTACACATACTCTACACTCTTCACCACCTCCAACCACTCCATCACCAGACCAACCACCTCCACTCCGTCGTAGCACTCGACCAACCAAAACTTCCACATTTTTGCAGGACTTTCATGTTGAGGTGGCCCTCCCTTCCCGTGTTGCTCCCACATCTTCCACAAGCATGGTCCAGTCATCAGGTACATCTCACCCCATATCTCATTATTTATCTTATGACCATGTATCCCCTACTCACAAAACCTTTCTCACAACCCTCACCATTATCAAAGAACCCACCAGTTTTTCGCAGGCTGTTCAGGATCCAAAATGGCGTGACGCCATGCAAAAAGAGATTGTTGCCCTTCATGACAATCGCACTTGGACTCTTGTGCCCTTACCACCTCACAAACATCCCATCGGTTGCAAATGGATCTATAAGGTGAAGCTTAAACCTGACGGCAGTGTTGAACGCTACAAAGCTCGTCTCGTTGCTAAAGGCTACAGTCAAATTGAGGGGCTTGATTATCGGGAAACTTTTGCTCCAGTTGCCAAGCTCACCACCGTCCGCGTCCTCCTGAGTATTGCCTCCATACGAGGCTGGCATCTTCATCAACTTGATGTGAACAACGCATTCTTGCATGGTGACTTATACGAGGAGGTTTATATGTCCCTGCCTCCTGGGTTCGGACGAAAGGGGGAGACACGAGTATGCAAATTACACAAATCCATTTATGGTTTAAAACAGGCCTCGAGACAATGGTTTATCAAGCTGTCTAGTGTTCTCAAGACTACTGGTTTTCATCAATCATGGTCAGATTACTCATTGTTCGTCCGAAACCGTCAAGGCAGTTTCATGGCATTACTTGTGTATGTTGATGACGTGATACTTGCAGGTAACAATTTGAGAGAAATTGAAGAGACTAAACTCTTCCTTTCCCAACATTTTAAACTAAAGGATTTGGGAAAACTCAAATACTTTTTGGGGATAGAAGTTGCAAGATCTAAACAAGGGATTGCCTTGTGCCAACGCAAATATGCGTTGGAGATACTAGAAGATGCTGGGTTCCTTGGTGCGAAGCCCTCACGATTACCAATGGAACCAAACCTGTCCCTTACACAAACTGATGGGACGCTCCTACATGATCCTTCTTCATACAGGCGACTCGTAGGAAGGCTGATTTACTTAACCATCACGCGACCTGACCTGACTTATGTGGTTAATATGTTGAGCCAATTCATGGACAAGCCACGACAACCACACCTTGAAGCAGTGCATAAGGTTCTCAGGTACATCAAACAATCTCCTGGACAGGGAATTCTTTTGCCTTCTACAGGTTCACTACAACTACAAGCCTTTTGTGATGCTGATTGGGCTCGATGTAAAGACACTAGAAGGTCAATAACCGGTTATTGTATCTTCCTTGGACAAGCACCGATATCTTGGAAAACGAAGAAACAAAACACAATATCTCGTTCCAGTGCAGAGGCAGAATACCGTTCTATGGCTGCTACTTGTTGTGAAGTTATATGGCTAAGAAACATTTTGAAGGACTTGCAAGTAAATCATGCACAACCAGTCACAATGTTTTGTGATAATCAAGCTGCCATGCACATTGTTTCGAACCCAGTGTTTCATGAACGAACGAAGCATATAGAGATAGACTGTCACTTAGTACGTGAGAAGATTCAAATGGGAATGGTGCAAACAGCTTACATACGGACCTCGAATCAACCTGCAGACTTGTTCACCAAACCACTAAGCTCGGCACAATTTGAGGTCTTAATTAGCAAGTTGGGTGTCATCGACATTCACACTCCAACTTGAGGGGGAGTGTTAAAATGCATGAAATAAACATGTTGGAATAATGGTAGGCTAGTCAATTTTCTTGTTCAAAGTTAGGCAAGTTAAGTTAGTCAAGCAAGATAGGTAAGTTAGGCAAAATTAGGCTTATGATCTTTTTCTTCCCTATATATATGTTTCATCTTGTAATTGTTGAGATCAAGCAAATATACATCAAAATTCAATAAAAGGGGTTTGACAACTTCGAGATTTAACCAAAAGGATAAAAATGTGTTGTAAGCGAATAGTATCATAAGTGACTTTTTAGATTAAAAATGTCATTAACGTTAGAAGTGAACAATATCAAAAGTATTTCATTAAAACTTCCTATAATTTATAGTACTCAAACATATACGTTGATTAAAGTTCCTTAAAATAAGTTGGAACTGTACGATGATTCTAGCAGATATACAATCACAATACATGTATTTTTGTGATAGAATTTGAAAATTACTGAAACTAAATACAATTGTGATGATAAGTTTTGGTTTTGAGTATATTTTGAACCTTATATAGACGATGAAAAATCTCAGAAAATGGTGCACGATTCATTGTTGTTAAATATGCAACCCGTGGTTTTTTCTTTCGCCGTGATACCTGAGCTTTTAGTTGAAATTGACTTGGTGCAGACGATTTTCTCTTACAAAATGCGCAGGTGAATCATTTTCTTCACGTGCAAATTGAAAAAAGGTCCAACTTAAGTTTGACAATTAACTCATCGGATGATGGATGCACTGGAAAATATCGCACGTTTTTTATGACTGAAATTAAGAGAAACAAGAGATTGAAAACGCTACAAATTAACACATCATCTTGCTTGCGTATTGGATTAGTTAGGCTAAATTACATATGTTCTTCCAGGTAAATTCCGTGCGATTTTTCCAATCCATGTAATACACGTTTCTTAATTATATTTTTAGGGAACACTCGTTACATTGCATATCAATATTCCACATGTTATGTCTAACAAAAATGATACTCTTATCACATATTTATACTATCAATTACATTATCTTTCCAATAAAAATAAGACCTACATGCGTTGGCAAACTCAACATCTATCAAAAAGATGGTACAATGATAATACAAATAGGTAGTAAATATAGCATTACTTTATCTATAATATAATCCATGATCAACATAGTTCATGTATTTAAAAGTAAAATACATGCATACATTATAATTTAAGTAAGGGGCGGATTCATGGCATCGTTTTTTTAGATAATTTTTTTTACACATGTTTTTTGTGAGACCCACTTCCTAATGTATTTTAACAACCCGAACGTCTATATTTTAAAACATCATTCATGAATTTTTCTTGCAAAAAATTAGACAAATAAAAAATTATCGAGACATTCATTTGTAGTAAAGAAAATAGAAGAATACGATTCTACAAAGATTCCCTAAACCCTTAATCCAACAGTCATATAATTTTAGATATGAGTGATTTTTAATAGACATAATCTTTAAAAAAAGAACTAAAAAATAAAGTGTTCAAATCGATAAAATACAGTACAAAATAAGCTCAACAAAAATGTATGTACAAAATTATGTAAAAAAATATGTCATAGATCTATTCCCTTTAAATAAAATAGTAACACGGCCGATTGATGTCTCCATTTCGAACGAGAATTGTCTACTCTCTCACTTCATGTGCCTTTCTGTACCCTTCTGTTTGTGTGATCACGATTAAATCACGTCAACATTTTATATTGCTATTTATTTTTATCTAATTATTTTTATAAAAAATAATAAAAAATATTGATATGATTTAATCATAATACACAAAATAAAAGGACACGAAATAACAACGAAAATAGAAAGGCAGACAATCGTTGTCCCTCAATTTCAACACGAAAATTCTCTTACATTTGAGAAGTCCACTAATCGAAATTTCAACACGTGACCTATTTTCCCCTCTTAGGTAGGTAGTCCCTAATCAGTACAGTTGCATGCATCTCCCTGCTGTTCCAATCTGCTCCACATAATGCGGTCGGGTCCAATCGACCACAGCCACCATTCAATTCCTCAGCCGACCTATGGTGGATAAAGTCAGAGAAACAAGAAAAAGAAACCGTATTACCATTACTAAGTAGAATCCATGCTTACATCATCTCTGATATTTTAAGTTGGTACCGGATCTTTTTCGGATACAAGAGAACTGAGCACACTAATCAATAAATTCGGATAATTGAAATTTGATCTAACAATTATAATTATTGTAAAATTTAGAAGGATCATCTGTTTGTAACCGTTAGATCAAATTTCAATATTTCGAATGCATTGATTAGTAAACTTAGTTCCTTTGATCCGAAAGGGTTCTGGTTCCTTTTAAGTTCGAGTAAAATTGGGAATTTTGTTTTATTTTCTATATTTTCTTTTGAAGTTTAGATTTTTTTGTTGTGTGGATTAGATTTATTTCTTAATATTAATTCCACTTAGATTCTAGGTTATCGTTTGAATTTATTTTTACGATTGTTCTTTTACTTTACTATAAATTCTTCGAGGTGAAGAAGAATAAAGTACGAAAGTGAGTGTGAAAAAAGCCTGAGATTTGATTTTCCTCAACGAAAGAGCATTTCTTTTTCTTCTTTTTTTTTCCGTGCTGGTGTCATTTTCATTCATTTCAAAGCTGAAAAGTCTTGCAAATCACTGTATCATTTTAATTTTAATTTTTGTGTGTGTGTGTGTGTGTGTGTGTGTGTGTGTGTGTGTATAGATGTATATATTTGACTATACCTGGCAAAGCTACTTGCTCATTATTCCATCTGCAATTTGTGCAACATGGACTTTCTTCTTCTTCAACTTTTGTTCCTAATAATCTCCATCGCCATGCCCTTGTGCTTTTCTCTGAAACTCCAAAGTAACCCAACCGATCATCTCAAACTGTCCTCCACATATCAGACTTCTTCAGTGAAAGATCAGATAGTTAGGCTGGCCAATGAACCCAGCACAGTGAATTGGATGAAAAATGTGAGGAGGGAAATGCATGAGAACCCAGAACTTTCATATGAAGAATTCGAAACAAGTGCACTCATTCGCCGCGAGCTCGAAAAACTCGGTGTTGCTTATAAATGGCCCGTGGCTAAAACTGGCGTTGTAGCCACGATTGGCTCTGGCTCTTCTCCCTTTGTTGCTCTGAGAGCTGATATGGATGCTTTGCCTATTGAGGTTAATTAATTATTTCTCACTATATTTAATTTAATTGTTTTTTTTTGTTTAACCTTCTTTTCTCAAAGGCAATTTAAATTGTTGGGTTTTGATCAGATTGATTGATATATATTCTGTTGCTACTTTATTCCTTTTCACTGGCTTTTAATCAAAGTGTTTGTAACAAGGTATTAAAAGTGGAATGTTGAAAAAAAAAAATTGATGCTTTTTAAAAAAGCACTGTCATGTTGACAGCACTTTTCTGCATATGAGTATAGGAAATGGTGGACTGGGAGAACAAGAGCAAAGCGGAGGGAAAAATGCATGCTTGCGGCCACGACGGCCACGTCGCCATGCTTCTTGGCGCTGCAAAAATACTAAAACAACTGCAAGACACATTGCAGGTGAAGTGAAATATTAAGTTAATTAATAAAAACTCATTTGCCGATATATACAAGCGCTCGAACGCTGAAAGCTAACTAATTAATGCGACGCTAACCACTCATTTTATCCGCACGTATGTCATATTTTAAATCTGTCAGATTATTGCAGGGAACTGTTGTACTTATATTTCAACCGGCTGAGGAACGCGGTGTCGGCGCAAAGGACATGATTGAAGAAGGGGTGCTTGATAATGTGGAGGCAGTTTTTGGGATGCACATAGTGCTTGATTATCCGACTGGCGTTGTTGGATTGAGGCCTGGAGAATTTCTAGCCGGTTGTGGGAGCTTCAAAGCGAAAATTCACGGGAAAGGGGGTCATGCAGCAATTCCTCAGCAATCCATTGATCCGATTTTGGCAGCATCAACATCTGTAATCAGTTTGCAGAGCATCGTCTCGAGAGAAACGGACCCTCTAGATTCCCAGGTATGTATACTGTTTCTTTTTTTTCTTTCGTTTTTTTTTTTTTTGTGTAATTTCGTCTGTGATTATTTTGAAGAAAATGCAGGATTTTGCTTGAACATTAATGCAGGTGGTTTCTGTTGCTGTGATTAAAGCGGGGTCTTCCTTTAATGTCATCCCGGAATCTGCTACAATTTCTGGTACTTTTAGAGCTTTTAGCAAGAAGAACTTCAAAGGACTCATGAGTAGAATCGAAGAGGTAGGCACATATAGAACCGGTTGCAAACTTTTTATCAAAATTCAAAATTGCATATGAACTAAACAGAAACAAAGAAACGCTAACCCGATTTATTATGTACGAGTTATTGTTTGTTTAGCAAATTGTAACCGCGTCCAACTAAGCGTAAACAGACAACTGAAATTCATTCTTGCTGACAGGTTGTAAAAGGGCAGGCAGCCGTGCACCGGTGCTCCGCTGAGGTCGAGTTTTTAGGAAAGGAACATCCTACCATCCCTCCTACAGTAAACGACGAGAGAATTTATGAACAAGTAAGGGGAATCTCGAGCGAAATAGTAGGAGAAGAAAACATACAATTAGCTCATACCTCCATGGGGAGTGAGGATTTTGCTTTTTACTTAGACAAGGTGCCTGGATTCATGCTGTTTTTAGGCACAAGAAATGAGAAGATAGGAGCCATACATGCACCGCATAGTCCTAACTACATCATCGATGAGGATGTCTTTCCCATTGGGGCTGCCATACATGCAGCTTTTGCCCATTCTTTCCTATCAGATTCAACTGCAAAGTTGCAATAATTTCTGAAAGTCCATCTTCTTATTATATGTTCATTTTGTGTCATCCTTAAAAGTTATTAAAAAGATCGATGCATCCAGATTGTCTTGAAATGGTGTATAGGATCTTGTGATTTATGATTTAAAGGATCAATGACTGACTTCATTTGGATTTACTTGCTTGATAACCAAGTTTGCAAAAATGGCAATTAAATTTGCAGTTGTTCGGGTCAACACAATACGATTCCATTGATATGTACATGATTTTAATTTATATGTTTGCACACGGTAAGTTAAAGAGTTGGTATTGGGTTTGGCAAAATTTCAAACTGTAATTAACACCGCGTTACATGAATATAGTAAAACACGACAAGTTGTTAGGTCTAATCACATCAGTCGGATGGTAAATGAAATTTTTCCTTTTATTTTTACTTTTTCATCACGGCAAGTTAACACATTCCAGATTTTATTATTTTAGACCTTTATTTTTGCGGTAGAAGGATTCAATGATCAATGCTTGAACAAGTTTAGAGAGCATACATTATTACACCAACATGTCAACCAAAATTACAAAAGCAAAACATAAACTATGACATGTGAAATTCCCCCAAATTACATAATAATACAGATAACAAAAGACTAAGAATAGTAGAGCCGATCAGAACCTTCCTCCCTCCCTCTAGACAAGAACCGCGGCGGCAACGAAAGCTAGGAATCCAACAACCATGGATGGATATGTGAAGCTGCTGCCAGAGGGTGGTGCTGCTGGGGGGGCCGCCATACCGGGCATACCCGGCATGTCAGCTGCAGTAGCAATCACAACTAGTAGGGCAAAGCACAGAGCATACGTTGCCCTTGAGGCCATGACTGATATATGGAATGATGACTTGCAGACTTGCAGACTTGCAGTTGACTATTTGGTTTATGGCTTACAACAATACAGGGACTGAGACTATATATAAAAGATGAAGGGGTTAGATTGGCCGGTCGTTTCTAGGAACTCGTTAATTGTTAGGGAGAAATGTACAAGGCTAGAAGCTGTCACCTTCTGTACCCATCTAGGTTTATGGTTTTGTCAAATTTATTTCTGCCTGCAGTAGTTGCTTGCTGGTTTGTCAATTTTATCTAGGAAATTTTAAGCATGACGGTAACATGTTGAGTTGGGAATAATTGCTTAATTATTTCTTTTGTTTAAAGAGTTTCTTTGGAATTACTTCTGCTTACAAGTATTATGTTTTTTCCTAGAAGAACGGTGAATTTTTTAGTGAATTCCCAAGTGCTTTGAAATTCATTTGGAAGTGACCCAAAAGCATTTTTTAAGTTTTTTTTTTTGTTTTGATAATCACTATCACAAGCAGTTCACCATCTGAGAAATGTCTTTAGATATTTTAAAACAATCTCAAACATACAATAAGACCATTGAATGGATGGATTGATTGGTTTAAATTAAGCTAGTGATGAGAGGCCTAAATGAAATAATCCAAACAGTAATATATTGGTTCAAAGCTGATTGTCAATATGTCATTGATAGTGTTTCGGTATTATAGTAGCAAATACAATGTACACATTATAGATGAATTATCAATCAGACCTGACTAGTAAAAAAATTAGAGAAAGAATGGTTCTTTATACGCTCAAATTTCATCTCTAGACACCTATTAATTTTATTTAAAAGAAACTCTTGTGCCTACATATAAAATTACTATAAAAGACTTAGCGACTTTAGACTTCTAATACATACTTTTGTCCTATTCTTTTATCGTAAACTTGGCTATTTGTCATATACCTCCTCCTTCAGGTAGTAGAATATGAAGTTCTATTCCTTCTTATGGTATCGTATTCCCCCATTCACGCTTCTGTTATATGTTCTAATGGAATTTCCTTTTGTAGGCTCAAACTAAGTAGTTATTATTCAAATCGTTGTTGATTGGCCAAAAGAGGTGTTTAGAGAAAAATATATTTATGAAAAAAAGGAAAAGAAGGGTATTTTTGAAATTTTAGTAAATCATTTTGGGTGCCTAAAAATATATGTGGGAATAATTTGGGTGTCCGGATAAGCAGGGTGTCTAGAAACTTGGGTGTACATGTAACCAGTGTTAGAGAAATCGCAAAGGGCCCAAATTGAGACTGTTCGTTTTGGGCCGTAAAGGCAAAACGCCCAACAAATTTCAAGAAGCGAAAGCAAAAGTTATGGAAAGGTGTATTGGTAGTTGATAGAGTGATCGTCTGCTCGCTCGTTTGTTCGATAACAATCTTCAGAGTCCCCCCGCAGCTTTCGCTCTCTGCAACAACAACAAAACCTCCATAGCCGTATCCGTACATATATCTCTATGCCCTTCTAACTTCCCACTCACTCTCACCCTATGGGCTCCACTTCCGCCATCTTTCTCTGCTCTCGTCCCAAGGTTCTCTCTCTCTCTCTCTCTCTCTCTCTTACTTGAGTGCTGAAATTCGTGTTGGGTTTGCAGATACTACTGCGGCCGCAGAGGTTGCAATCTCAATTCGAATCCCAAGGTCCAGGAAGTGCTTGGCTTGGGTATCGTGCGCAGGGCGTGTTTTTACCTCCTATCCTTCCGCGACCGAGGAGATGCTTGGCGGTAAAAGCTGCTTCTAGGCCATCCGGTGCTCGAAGAGTGTACAGAGAATCACAGAGTGGGAGCTCATTGTCTGTTGCTCCCGTCAAGCAGCTCGCTTCCTTCGTCGGTCCCGTCGCCTCCTTCTTCGCCGTCACTTTTGGTACTGCTTTTGCTTTCAACTGCCTTTTATACTGTCTATTCAGCAAAAAAATTGACTTGGTTGAATGTTGGATAGAAACTAGAAAACTTTAACTTGGTTAAAATGTGGGGTAGAAATTGAAAAACTTTAATTTGGTTAAATGTTGGATAGAAATTTGAAAACTTTAACTTGGTTGAAAATTTGAAATGTCGAATAGAGGATGCATTTATTTTTAATTATTAGCAAATTTCTACTGGAAAATGGCATTTGCTTTAAATTTTTGTCATAATCAATAGATACCTTTATTATGCTTGTGTTATCAGAGTCATTTGTGGTCCGGCATTGTTGTTTCGTCATTATATTTGCCTTGTCGCTCAAATTGGTGCACTAATTTATGTCTTCAGCTGACAGTTTTGTGGAAATTGGTGGAGAAAATCCTTGTTCCAAAGCGGCAGAGGACTTCCTCGGTAGAGAGCAGTACGCGTGCACAAGGAATGAAATGGTCTTTTGCCGCTGGTACGAATTTATTATCGGGTCTGGGTGCAAAGATTGAAAGAGAGTCCAAGCTGAAGCTCAATGACTTTGCCAAGGAACTTAAGTCATTCAGAAGTGTTGACCTGTCAGGTAGATGCTGTAGTACTCATGAACGTAGTTTCTCTATCTTTGCCAGCCTTTTGGAGAACACTAGCCAGCTAAAAAAAAACAAAAATCATATTCTGCTTTATTTTTGTTTTTTTCCTTATTTATACCAGTTTTTATCCGAATACCAACTGGAATCGCACTAATTTCTGGAACAATTGATATTTGAAATCATATGTTGTATGATATTTTTTTTTATTAGAGGTTTATTATTGTTTGCTAACTTCCTCATTGATTGTACCTTCCTTTTTGTTGGAGTTAAACCGGGTTTAGTATGCCAGTCATTGTCATTTGAAGGTTCTAATATATCTACTAACTAAATGTAATAACTCATGCATGTTCTGGCAACACTTTGTTTTGACAGGTCGTAACTTTGGAGATGAAGGATTGTTTTTTCTTGCAGAGAGCTTGGGTTACAATCAGGTTTGAGTTCATCAGTCAAACACTAAAGCTCTCTGCTTTTGTTATATATATTTTTGTTACCTTTTTAGTTTACTAAGAAACTGTTACTGTGGACTATAATTGCGTGCTTTATTGTGTTCCAGACTGCTGAAGAAGTAAGTTTTGCTGCAAATGGCATAACTGGAACTGGAATGAAAGCCTTTGATGGTGTTCTTCAATCTAACGTCATGTTAAAAACTCTTAATCTTTCTGGAAACCCTATTGGAGATGAGGGAGCTAAGGTCAGTACAAATTCCTCCCACTAACATTTTTCGGTCCACCTCAGTCACAACTTACAATTGTACATTGTTGTGCTTTCTTAAATTAGAGAGCTGATTGTTTGTGTGGCGTACTATTGTTCACAGTGCCTATGCGAGGTATTGGTGAATAATGATGGTATTGAAAAGCTCCAGCTAAACAGTACTGACATAGGGGATGAGGTTAGATTATTTCTTCTATCCAAGCTGGTGTCCTAATGACTACATTCATGTGCTCTCAAAAGATGGAAGAGGAAAGGCTTGTTCATGAATGGTACACTTAAGATGCATGCTGCTCATTTCACTGTGCAGGGTGCAAAGGCTATTGCCGAAATGTTGAAGAAAAATTCAACCTTACGTGTTCTCGAACTTAACAACAATATGATCGACTACTCTGTAAGGAATGGCTTCCAGATATTCTAAGATAATAATCTTCAACGAATTCAGTCATAGTTCACTAACTGATTCTATTTATAATTTACAAAATGGAGGTAGGGATTTACAAGTCTTGCTGGAGCTCTTGCTGAGAATAACACACTACGTAATATACATCTGAAGTTAGTCAAGTTCCCTTTTTTTTCTCATATAATACAAACTTTCTGGTTTTTATCATTTTATGTAATGCTTGTTCGTGCGTATTGCTTGGCTATGGCTTTGGCTTCTTTTAAAGAAATTCTTCTGACAATCTTTTATTTGATTGAAGTGGCAATTATGGTGGCGCCCTGGGGGCCAATGCTTTAGCTAAAGGACTTGAGGGGAACAAATCTTTAAGGGTACCTGTCTCTTCACTACCACTCTTCTTTCTGTATTGCAATGCGAGAAAATTAAATTACTACTCATGTTGATGATGACTCTGAATGTTGCATAAATTTTCAAGGTATTTTACATCTGTGTTAACTGGAAATACGATAAGTTAGATAAGTGAATTTTCATACGATAATAAGCCTGAGGAAGACATTCAGTGACAGTAATCCACAAAAATCTATTCTTAAGCAATTTTAAAGATTGACGGAACTCTGTTTATTGTTTCCAAGAAACACCGCTTATTATTCTTCTTTTTAGCTGCCACAATGTTGCTGCATAAAATATATGAGCTTGCAACAGATTTGGTTAAGTTTTTGAGAGGGCTCTGGTATTAATAGCTATGATATATATGCAGGAACTTCATTTGCATGGAAATTCTATTGGAGATGAAGGAGTGAATGCTTTGATGTCAGGTTTATCATTACATAAAGGTTTGTGTTTCACTATATTAATTGCCAATTTTTGGTCAGACTTCTTCGGTTTCCTGCAGTTTATCTCATATGCATATTTTCTTAGGTAAACTTACACTTCTGGACATTGGCAACAACTCTTTTACTGCAAAAGGTGCTTTCCATGTTGGTGGATATATCAAAAAGACCAAAAACTTGTTATGGTTGAACCTTTACATGAATGATATAGGCGACGAGGTATAGTATTTTCAAGTTGTTGATCACTTCTGCTACACAATTATCTGAATTCATAATTTGTCTGGTTTCCTTTTCAATTGTGAAAATTAATCAATAGCCAATCTAGAATATTTGGGAATTTTGTGTACAAAGTAGATTATGATGAATGAAGTCATTAAGCATATGTTTTTCATTTCAAGGTTATCAGCTTGCATTGAACTTTCTACTGCTACGCTATCACTGTTTGGATTTTCTGGCATTTCACAGTCTTAAGACAGAACAGAGAATTTGACCGACCGAAAAAAAAAAAAAAAAACACACAAAAAGGAAGTTTGGACTTAGTTTTAGTATCTCCATTCTGCAATTTGGTACATTGTTTGTGCTATAAAACATACCAAGTAACTAAACAGTACTTCATTGACTAGTCTAGAGTTTTATAACTTCAAAAACCAAGTCAAGTTCCTTGCTGATGTGTAAATCCTGTTCATATCTAGGGAGCTGAAAAAATTGCAGATGCTTTGAAGCAAAACCGGACGATAACAACCATAGACATGGTGAGAAGAGCATGCGTCTTTGTTAGCAGCATTTTTTTTTCAATGTATCTGTGAAAAACGGTGTCCTTAACGTGCTAGTTTAGTAAACATGGGGATCGTTCTTACAGGGGGGGAACAACATCCATGCCGAGGGAGTCACTGCAATAGCTGAAGCATTGAAAGATAACTCCGTCATTACATTTGTAAGTCCTTAATCTTTGTCAACTACCTTTTCTTCCATCTTTCCGTTTTTATTCATGAATGTAATGGCACACACTTCTTTCCTCGCACAGTTGGAACTCGGTTACAATCCCATGGGACCTGATGGGGTGAAGGCTTTATCCGAAGTTCTCAAATTTAATGGAAACATAGAAACCCTTAAGCTTGGCTGGTGCCAGGTAATCTATAGTTTTGCATATGCGCTTATCTATTTATAATCTTGGATCTGAGCTTTTAACGTGTATTGTAAACTTTGTTTTGCAGATTGGTGCAAAAGGTGCAGAGTTCATCGCAGATATGTTAAAATATAATACCACCATCCGTGTTCTGGACTTGCGGGCGAATGGACTTCGAAATGAAGTGCGTTAATGTAGATAAACAATGTCTTCGTACTCCATTTAACCCTTTATGATCACTCAAATCTTATGTTATTTTATACGTTAAAAATGCAGGGTGCATCGTGCCTGGCTCGTAGCTTAAAAGTGGTTAATGAAGCTTTAACTTCATTGGATTTAGGGTTCAACGAAATTAGGGTATGTATTGGCGTTGTGTTTTCTGTTTACCCCTTCACATGTTAGTGGTCTTTTGCACACCATCTGACATTGGTTTTGTATTCAGGACGACGGCGCTTTTGCAATCGCTCAAGCACTCAAGGCTAATGAAGACGTGACGGTTACATCTCTGAACGTAGCCAGCAACTTCCTCACCAAATTCGGTCAGGTATCCCTTTCGGCGTCAAGGATCTTCGAGTTTCACCATTTATGTTTGCCATTTTGTTTTCGCTGTACAACGGTGTTCTGGTTCATGCTGCAGAGTGCTTTGACGGACGCAAGAGACCATGTGTACGAGATGAGTGAAAAGGAAATCAACATTTTTTTCTAGCAGGCTTACTTTTTAGACCAGAAATGTGGATGCAGAAACTCGAAACAACACCGTTCTCGCGGTTCATTCTTTCCCTTGGAAGCATCGGCAGGAACTCGAAAGTCCAGGCACTTGGTTGAAGTTTTTGGGTTCTTATCAACTTCAACTTACCAGGAACAATTGACAATTGGAAATTTTGACGTTGAGAGATCATAGTTAGCTCTTCAGTGGTAGGCATTGTTTGTTCTTAAAAGGTTGTCAATTTTTATTTTTTTGAATTTGGAGGTCGGGGTGGGAGTGGGAGGTGGTGTTCATCACTCGAGTTAAAAATAATTCTGCAAGCTTGTATCTGTCAAATGAACTGATAAATACTCGTACAAGTTTTGTAAAGATTTTTGTGTTAAAGATGACTAGTGTCTTGTAGGAAAATGAGAAATGGGAAGGACTAAGGAGAGTCTAAAGAGTGGAATTATCTACTGTCTCATGTTTTTGGTACAATATTTTATATTTGTATGAGATTTAATGTTAAACTATGAGGTGACAGAGTTTATGAAGAGTCCTACTGTGAGAGTTTCCTTAGCAGTTCTCCAGCAAAATACTTGGTTCCTCGCGGCATTAATTCATTTATCGTAAATTTTAGTTTAACACGTGCACATAATATTTTCGTGTTTTCAATGTCTTATTTTGTGTACAACTAAGGAACCAAATAATGCTTAAATTATATTTGAACCGATTTGAAAGTGCCACTATCCGAGAACTTTCATTACGTGAAAATTCCGGTGACATGGTGGCGGTGTATGAGGCCATGAAAGTTGTCTCCCACTGTCCATATTGTCTATTTTATGACGTGGAAGCGGTGAACAGAGTTCGTGGCTGTCCTTGGAAACAACACTCGTGTCATGGGAGTCGGACTGGTACTTCGTGGCTGTCCTTGGACGACGCACTGTTTCAGTTCCCGTGCCTACCCCTGACCCGCAATTTTTTTATTTCCAAGGAAAAAGAACTTTACATATAACCGTTCATTATTACCATAGCATCTCGTTATAATAAATTTTTCAACACATAAATTATATTATATTATTAAATTTACGTAATGAAAAACACGTTTCATGCAAATTATTTTTCAAAAAGAGTACGAAAAAAGTGAATAACACCCTTGAAAAAATGTCCTGAACAGAAATGCAAGAAGTTTTTGGGCGTCCGTTTAGTAAGAAGAAGGTGAAGGCTTCCTCCAGCTCAACATGAGATTAATATTGCAGTGTGTCAAGAGCTGTTATACCCTTACGGTACTTCAAATCAATGATGCATTATTATATGAAAAAATTTGATGTACAAAATATAAATTGACTTGAAATATCGACATAATTTCATCCTCGTGTATCAATTTTTCTCGTACGCGTTATAGTACAAAGAGAGTGACTTCCCATTCTCTTGATATCAATCCATCCAACTGGACTTGAGCTGTCCTCTGCTGAATACGAAATCAGATTATAATTATTATTGATAAGTAGTTCCATCCAGCTGGGCTTCAGTACTGCTTTCCAACCGACTCGTTCATTCATTCATGCATGCATGCATTCATAGAATCTCAATCCCCCTCATTGGCCATGAACAATCCATGTCCTTCCTTATCCCACGACCCATGCGTGTTGGTGCTCATGGAAATGTAATGGCCCTTTCTTCTTTTTGCCCTTGGTTTTATCGATAGTGACTTCTGCACTTATTTCATGTATTTGGAGTGAAAAAACCGATACACAGAATAAAGAGACAAAAAATATATTTAAGCAGAATCAAGAAAAGTGTAATGCCCGTGTGCATGCCATGCATACTAGTTCCGGAAGATCCAGAATTTAATTAATAGGCATATGTTCATCTTCACTGATGTTGACAAATGCTAAAGCAATCTGTTGAGTATGGTACACGTCATGTTAAATGTTATTAAAATATTCTTAAAAAGACATTCCATGAAACACTCATTGAGTAAAGGTCCTGAAAGACCTTCATAAACGCTTTTCCCGACTAAAAGGGTCCAGCACCAACAGGGTCATATGTGGATATCCGTCAAGGCTAAGCCATGAGTTAATCGAAAGAAGTAGCCGCATTCTACCTGCATGCGATATTCATGAATGATTTATCAAGCAAGAACCTAGCTGGGTGCCACGTACACCAAACAACTGAAGTGGAAATTAAAATCGAGTTTTGTTTTTTTTTGGAAATATCGACAAATATTTTATGTCACCAAAGTGCGTGGTCCGTCATGGTTCAGACACCGATATGGCGTCGTATTAGTTCAAGACATGCCGAACAGCAGGGCATGGGGGCATGCAAATACGGTGCAAGAGACATGGGCAATGACGTAACTCTACCAAGACGAGAACGACTATATAAACAAAAGGGGACAACTCTTTCTCTATGTACTTCAAGACTTAAGTTTTCAGAAACACTAGTTTCGACTGCAGTGAGCCTGTGAGTAAGCTAAACAGAGAGAGTAAATATATATACTGTCACAAAAAAAAATGTCGTCACGCTTGCTTCTCGTTGTGGCGGTTTTGCTCTTCGGCTGCATGGCGGTGGTTCCGTCTGAACATTCTACCATTGAAGACCATGAAACGCAGGTTAACTAATTAGTCACCACTCACCAGCCACTGGTCATGCATGACTGCTTTCGTTTTTTCTCTTTGGGTTCTGTTTCTGGAATTTCTGTAACTATTTCTTACCAGTTATTAATTACTTATGTGTTTTTTGTAGGCGGTGGTGAAAGGAGCTAACAGAAGGCTTTTACCATTCCTGAGTATGCATGCATGGCCTTAATTTTCATGTGCTTTCAAAATTTAAATCTTTCTATTGCTGCGTGTAGTTAATTAACTTAAAAATCAATGACTTAGCTTTTTCTTTTTTATAATCAATATTTTACTTAGGAAATGATTTCTGAACGCTCATTTTTTCCTTCCGCACAATGGTGTGTATTTTCATCTTTTAAGTTTTCTTTGGATTGAATATTCTAAAGGCAAAAGATAAATAGCACTTAGTGTACTGACGAGAGAGAAAAATAGTGTATGTAAATTATTTTATTTACTATAAATTGATCTAAATGGTGTGAGAAGGAGTATTCGAATCGAGAAGCATATCAACTCTAAACAACGTGCATGGATATATTTGTGCGTGACTTATTCAATTGATTTAGTACATAGTGATCAATTGTTAATTAGTGTTAATGAATAGGGTTCGCATGTGTGTTTGTTTTAATTTGCAGACTGTGAAGGGTTGTGCAATCAGAGGTGCAGTAAGCACTCGAGGCCAAACGTGTGCACGAGGGCATGTGGGACCTGTTGCATGAGGTGCAAGTGTGTTCCTCCCGGCACCGCCGGCAACAGAGAAGCCTGCGGGACCTGCTACACTGATATGACTACTCACCACCACCACATCAAGTGCCCTTAATTACCACTAGTTATCAATTACCGCCTTAATTAATCGGGAATAAATAAATTTCAGAAAACTTAAATGCTGTATGATGTTTTTGTATATGTATTTCGTTATTTGTATTTTCTGTCGATGTTAATTATGTGAATGTACGTTAATTTAGTAAAAGTGTATTGATACTGTAAGAGTGAGTTTTCAATGTGCCGAAAATTGTTAATACACATTATTTCGTTATGCAATTTCATTTGGAGTAACTTCAAAACACGAAGCATGATTTAAATGCTCTTAACAACTTAAGTTTGTAAATTTTTGAATGCATGTTGGGGGAACAAATTTTATCAGATTAGTTTAGTCAGATTTCACTATAATATGGAGCGAGCCAATGCTGAGAGGCATGCAAGCCTCTCAGCGAAGAATGCACCAGATGGTTAGAAGCAAAGCTACCCAAATCCGTCCATGCCTCTCAGCGAAGAATGCACCAGATGGTTAGAAGCAAAGCTACCCAAATCCGTCGTGTATGTTTCCTTCGGAAGTATGGTTTCTTTGACTCCGAAGCAGATGGAGTAGTTGGCATTGGGATTGAGAAAGTGGAGTGCATTTCCCGTGGATGGTAAGAGAATCGGAACGCAGTAAGCTGCCCGGTGAAATCATCTACTCGGCGAAAGAAAAGGGTTGGCTTGCGACATGGTGCAACCCAGCACTGGCACATGGAGCAGTTGGGTGCTTTGTGACTCATTGCGGGGGGAATTCGATAGCCTTGGGGTGCCGATGGCGGCTGTGCCTCAGTGGGCTGATCAGCTGTTTGGGGAGGAGATATGGGAGGTTGGCGTGAAAGTTAAGGAAGACGAGGAGGGAGTGATGAGGAAAGAAGCATTTGTCGGGTGCTTGAAGGAAGTAATGGAGGAAGAGAGAAGCAAAGACATTAAGAAGAATTCGAGTAAATGGGGGGAGATGGCTAAGAACGAATTAAGTGAAGGGGGGAGCTCTATCAAGAACATTGGTGATTTTGTAGAGCATCTGAGGCTTGCTAATAAGAAAGGAGAAGTAAAGGAGTTTATGAACGGCACAGATTGAACTAGACTATGCCTCTTACGAGCTTATTTCTTATCGATCACCACAGGAGAAGCGGAGAGAGATGTTGTCAATAAAATTGACAAGTTAATCTTGCTGAAGCACCATGGCATAGTCGTAAAACGTTAAATATCTATAAATATGAATCGAATGTGCTTCTTTTTACATCAGTTTCCTCGCAGCCTAGCTTTCTTATGCTACAACATCCTCATCAACATCTGTGAGAGTGATTTTTCGGCAGACCTGCTAAAAGTACAAACATCATAATCAGTACCGTCCCTTGTATCATAACCAATATGTACTCAAATCATAACGAAATTATTCAAGATGCAAAGTTCTATTCTACTAACCTAGCCAGTCTTATGCTAGAACGCTCTCCTCATTCGATGATGAATCCTTGATCCTCCGCAAAGCAGCTATAAGAACAAAAATGATAGAATCAGGCCCCATATATCATAACCAATCTGTTTCCAACCATAACAATTCATCGAATAAGTTAACCAAATTTCTAATAAACTTCTAATGCACTACAGTTTTTTAAGCATGTACACTTGATTTTTATCTCAACTTTGTATTCCTGAGTTTTGGACAGTTGAAGATCTGAACTTTTACCTTTTTTCTTAAGCTTATTTCGAAAGCTTCTTTTCCTGCTAAATGCCGTCTCCTATAATAAGAAAGCAAACTAATAATTACCAAGATGCACCAAAAAGACTCCATCTTCAATCAGAGCAGTAAAAACACAGCAATATGCAATCCATTGTCTAAAAGTGAGGATTAGGTGGAAGCAAAACGGTTGAATCATAATTAAGAATATCTTGTTTCGAATTGTATGTTTTTATACTTACCACAGGCAGATCAAGTTCTCCTGCTCTACGAACTGCAGCAACCAGGTCACGGTCAGATTCTGTATACATGCTAGTCACAAGTCCATATTGACCAGCTCTGGCTGTGCGACCAACCCTGTGTATAAAGTCCACAGCAGAAGTAGCAAAATCTGCCTGAAATGAGTAATTGACGCCAAGAGTTAGCTCTGTTCATACTAATAAATACCCGATGAATACTTGAAACAGTATAAAAACCTTAGACACACCTGGATAACATGTGATACATTTGGAATGTCAACACCACGTGCGGCAGAATCAGTGCACACGAGAATGCCACCTTTCTCTTGGAAATCAACCAATGTCTTTGCACGGTCTTCCAAGGAGCAATCTTTATGGTATTGGTAACATTCAATCCCAGCTTTCATCAATATCTTTGCCACCGATTCCACAGCCTCAACAGTATTTGCAAACACCATAGTTCGGCACTGACCGGAAGTGGATCTCGTCTCAATTCCATGTTTCACAGCCTTTATAAGTTCATCCACCTGAGTATCAAAAGTAACTTCAATCCACCTTTGCTTCAATCTGAAATATAACAGAAGCAACAAATTAACAACACTTACAAACACATCAATGTTAAAACATCTACTATTAACAGAATTGACTCCAAACAAATCCCCATAAATGCAGCAAAATGAGCACAATATAGCACTACAGCAGTTATCTAGGGAGCAAAGGAGAATATAAACAGTAACTGGTAGATAAAAAAAAGGCGTCCCACCTGGGGTTGTGGCAATGGAGGTAGTTTCCACTAACCCAATCGGCCTCTGGAAACATCTTCTTCAACACTGCCCCGGCAGTTCTCTTTCCATTCGCTGGAAGAGTAGCTGCAACAAAAACGTACTGTTTACTGCGCTTGTAAACTTTTCTCACTCTCCTCCAGTCTAAACTTTTTACGTGCCCAGCCTCAACCTCCTCCTCATGTACGTTGCCATCTTTCTCAGAATCTCCCTCTTCTTCAAATACGTCTTCAGTCTGAAGATCGTCTTCATCTTCTGAACTGAAATGTGAGGAAGTGGGTTCTGATGGATTCTCCTCACTTGACCGTGACAATAGTTTTTCATCAAACCGGAGCATGTGTATGAGACGGATAACCTTATTCTGGTAACCCCCAGAGAGAAGCATATCTGCTTCATCAAATACCTGCCAATGCCAAATTGGCCATAAATCATGTGATTCCTTTTTCTATATGCATGCAATTATAGATATGTGATTTTGAATGGAGAAATAAACATACCACATATTTTACACTCCTTATAAAATCCGTACGACGGAAATTTTTTGGGTCAATATTATTCAGAAGAGCAGCTGGTGTCGAAACAATAATATCAGGTTCATTAACTGGCCATCCCTGCAATCAAAGTTTGTTTTTTTGTGAGAGAACAGTATCACAAACATTTGATAGGCACAGAGAAAAGAGAAGGTGAACCACATCCATCTAGTAATACAAGTAACACCATACAAGTGCATCATTCTATATCCAAAACCGAATAACAATAACATCAATACCTGTCTCCCACAAAGAGATACGACACTCAGAAGTGGTTCGCCATTTTCGCCACAAAGACCATTGGCCATCCGAACCACTTGGTCTGCAAGTGTCACATTTGGACAAAGAACAAGAGAAATCTTTCGGGGTTGGGACACTCCTTGATCAGAAGAAGCAACATTCGCAGACTCGTCGTGCTCATTGCACAGCTTATCAATCAAAGGGACAAGAAAGCTGTGCGTTTTACCACTACCAGTTTCAGCTGCCACAACAACATCCTTCCCTGAAAGTATAGATGGTATGCTAGCAGCCTAAACTCCCAATACAACAAAAATGCATCAATAAAAATTCAAACTTCGAAGCGATTTCACAAATTGGGATCAATAATCTGAAGACCCAGTTCGAGTTTTCACTGCCCGAATGGAGAAAATTGAGAAATGGAAGTCTTAGGACTGAACTTGTCACCTGAACCAGAGACGGTTGGCCGAGGCCGGCATTGTAAAGAGCTTGAGAAACCTTATCGGATACGCCGAGGGACGTCCACGAAACGCTTTCTTCGGTGAAAAACGTATCTCTGCCTTCCTTCCGGTACGCGGCGGTGGTGGCGGTTCCGAAACGGCGAGGGTGACTGACCCAGAGCAAGCTGATCCGAAACGGAGACGAAGAATTGGAGAGAAGAGAGAAGGAGTGCCGGAACTGGGAGAGGAACCTGGGCGGAGATGAAGAGAGTTTGTAGAACGGAAGCATTTTTGTGGCGGAGCGATGGGTTTTTGGGATTAGGGTTTATGGAATGTGGATAAACCCTTGTTGCTGTGTGAAGATTGGGTTTGGAGATGGAGGGAGAAGTTTAGGAGGCGAATACGGTGGCAGCAACAAGCGGGCGTGTTTCGTGACTGACGCATTTTGGTCCGTTGGATCATTTGCTAATCAAGTGAGTAGTTTAGAACATTACTGATTCTAGAGATTCGTGAATCGTGTACGTTTATCGTACATCGTACGATCAGTTTTTGTTAAATAGTGTTTATGTTTATTTTTAAATAAAAATATTTAAAATAATATATGAATGCACGATGTATGATGAACATACACGATTTATGAATTTTCAGAATTCTCACAAAGAAAATCCGGATTCGAAAAACCCTACTCGTGTTTTTCTTGACTTAAACTCTAACCCACAAGGATAACTTATATAGCACCAATATCACTACAGTGATATTCTTTTCCAACACAAGTACATATGCACGTTTTTATTCATGTGCCTTTGTTTTATTGACATAGGACGTCTCAACGTGCTGTAGATTCACTGGATTGCCACCCATTAGTATTAGGGTTGGTTTGGTATTGCTGTGCTTTGAAAAAAAACTGCTTCTGCTGTGCTGTGAGAATAAGCAGCTGTGAAATAAAGCAGCAGAGTGTTTGGTAAACTTTTTTGTAAAAGTGCTTTTAAAAAAAAAAGCAGTATTATAGTGTTTGGTAAACTTTTATGTAAAACAGATGTGAAAAAAAGCCAGTTTTTCAAAGCTAAGTTTTGCAACTTCTTGTTTTTGGCTTTTTTTCATCCAAAACTGTTAAAAAAAGCTGAAGCTGAATGTTTACCAAACACAAAAACAGCTCCCAGCTTTTTTTTTATCCCAGTTTTTTTCAGAATCACCTCAGTACCAAACCAGGCCTTAGTAATGTCTACTTTTGGTAATGTATGCCACTTGTGCTATATATTAAGTAAATTATTGACACGTGATAAATTAGTAACTCGAGATAAGCCCATGTCTGACGATGTCTTTCTCTCACACTGACGCCTTCAGTCATGGGGCTCAACTGTAAATTCCGAACAGTCAAAGGCCCTCAGGAGAAATCGACGAGTATATACGACACCAGGATTTAGAGGACGTTTTAGATAAGAGAAGGAGGAAAGAAATGAGCTGGGCTAGTGTAACTCCGCTTCTATCACTGCCTCCTCCAAAGCTGCACCCTTCCTCCTCCTTCCTCTCTCCTTCTTGGTCGACGTCTTCGATTCCAAGTGTTCGGGTTTTAACAACCAGTAGCATACACTTCTCTTCTACTTCGCCATTTTTGTCGTTAAGAAAGCAGCAGATATGCAGAGCAGCGGGCGAATACAAATTTCCCGACCCAATTCCCGAGTTCGCTGATTCCGTAAATTTTTGTGTAAGTTACTCGTTAGTTTTCCCAAAAGATTTGATTTTTTATTCTATTTGTCGATTCTTCGGGTGCAGGAGACAGAAAAGTTGAGGACCCATCTCTTGAACAAGCTCTCCAAGAAAGAAACGTATGAAGACTCGGTTGAAGAAATCGTAGGGATCTGCACTGAGGTACTTGAACCACTTTTGGATTTAAACTTGACTTAATTATCTTTTTAGGCTGTTTAATTTGCTTAATATATGTACATTACATCATTGCCTCGTTGGGTGGCTCGCCCTGGACCGGACTATTTCGATTAAATTAGACTAATGTTCTGGCCGCTGTTTGATGAACTTATTGAAATGCGCAACAACGGACCAAATCCCCGCCCCCCAAGCACGTTTTTGCAGTTGCATAGCTGCTAGGTGGGTTTAAGAAATGTTCATCCAAAGCAAAATGCAGGATTTGCACGTTACAGTTTCTGGATAACAGAACCACTTTGTGACCGAGTTCTTAGGTTGCTTATAGAAATGTTCTTGCACTGAACTTTTGTCGTTAAGGAGCTTGGATTTTCGAAGCCACCTTTGTTGTGTATGGACTTATATACTTTGTTTTCGATATCATATCTAGGGAAGAACCTTGTTGATTCGTAGAATACAAGGGCACTATACTGTTTTTCCCTATGATGAATCGTTCTTTGAACAGATATTAAGTACTTTCTTGCACACCGAGTATGGTGGTCCGGGGACACTCCTGGTAGTTCCGTTCATTGACATGGCCGATACCCTAAATGAACGGGGATTACCTGGAGGCCCCCAAGCAGCTCGTGCGGCAATCAAATGGGCACAAAATCATGTCGACAAGGACTGGAACGAATGGACTGGCGGTGATGAAAGTTAACAGGAAGCTCAAGCTCATGTTATGCGAGGTTGTTTCGTTGTAGTTTGCTAGTTGAAGGATAGGTTATAGAGTTGGTCAAGCAGTTTTGATATCTGTTGTGCTTGTAAAACTTGATGGCAAGGGAAATTTGAACGTGTGTTAGTTTGCTTTTGTTGTAACATTATGCTGTGAAAATGTATTCCTGAGGTCTAACAATGAAGAGCTTTTCCTTCGGCCTTATGATCCCATGATCATCTTCTACTGTTATTCGGTGTTGAAATTTTCGAGTTAGTTTTCGCATTTTGTTTCGAATGATTTTTCGTAAGTACAAGGCTTAATCCAGTTTAATCGAAATCATCGTTCGCCGCAAATGAATTCACTCGCTGATTTGTTTTGCTCTGTGAGCATGGGTGTAGTTTTACGTAGCAGTGTAGTGAGGCAGGACATCTTCTGTGTTCTTACAGTGAAACTTCGGCATATCTTGGGCAAACTCAACTTAGCACCAGAGGCCTGGCTTTCGGGTTGATTCTTGAGCCGCTCTCACTTAATGTCGTGCAAGGGCATTAGTCGCGAGTAGATTTTTTTTAATCACCAATTGTATACAATCATGTTTATCTTTGTCAACCGATGGAAGACTGATAGTTCGTTTCTTCTCTTGGACGAACTCACAGTAAAGGGTCTAAATAGACAGTTGTTAAGCTTAAAAGCTACTTAATGGATGTATATTTGTGAAATAAACAAGTTCACTTTAGAAGGGAATTGTTATTGGCACTTCAGAAGTCTCATTTTGCACTCCAAACTTTCTATATTTAGAAGGAAATGTACAGTTGTGAGGAGTGTCAAATAAGATTTTAGAACTGCTAATAACAGTTCCCCTTTCGAAAACCACCAAAATATTAATAAATGTCTCATACTGCCTATGTGATTTTCGGTGAACATAGACGAAGACAGAGTATAAGTGTTGAGGAATAATTTGCCACGATGTCCCACATCGCTTAGGAGAAGGGCACAAACCACTGGAGAGCCACGACATAGTGCTTCTCCAGCCAACTGTTTACTCACGGAGCTGTGCGGTGAGCACAAAGCGAACTATTCTTTCGCCTTTTACTAAAGAATACCGTGTGCACACCGCCAATAATGGCATACGCCTGTTTTTTTTTTTTTTTTAAGGGTATTTCTATATTGAAATGCCCTACAAATTAAAGTCTAATATTCGATAGTAAAATGTGACAAGTGCAATGTGGAAGGATATGCGGCTATAACCGGAGAATATCCACGCCTTCGCAGCTGCCTATCTTTCTTCTTGTGATGCCCCGAACAGCCATAACTGTTGATGATGCCGAATAGCCGAGGACCAATGCTTTTACCGATGCAACATTTTGTCCCGTCAAAGGATTATACGCCAGAAGGTACATAGAAGCCTGCCGCTTCGAAAACAGCAGCCTTTAGTAAAAGGGAAATAAAAAGAAAGCAGAATGTAGAAATGCGTACCCCGAAGCTAAGCTGCAACGAAGGACTAAACTGTTGCATCACAACGTGGTAATATGAAAAGTTTTGATCCATGTAACAGGATAGTGCTGTAATTCATGAGGCTGTACACACAAAGTCATATTTCATTTCGTTCCATCCAACTCGTAAGCAAAACATACGTGGATGATGATTAGCTCTCGGGGAGCTAATTACAAATCTGGTGGAGATCGATCCATAATCTCTTCCCTATCAATGAAACGCTCTAACAACTCTTTTTCCCGCAAAACTAAGCAATCTTCAGACTTGCCAAAGATGTCGTAGCGCCGCTTGGCAACATAATCATAAACCATCTCTCTCAGAGGAGTTGGGATCACCATGAAAGCACTCAAAGCAGAGTAAGGGAGAGGCAAGTATGACAAAACTTTCAGTGCAGCTGCAGAATCATATCAAATGAAATTTTGGAATTCAATTGTATAAATAAACTGAAAATTTAAGACTATATTTTAAGAAGCTAATTACAAGGGGAAAATATAAGATGCAGGCCAACAGGAAAAGCAATCGCAATTGACATGATTGACATTCACATAAATGTATAATATGTTTGCATAAAATCTTCCCATGTTTAAAGTCTTGTTCCTTGAAAGCTGAGAGCAGAAAATTCGTCCAAATCAACAAGGCTTAGAACTAGTATTCTGTGGAGACATAGGACTAGTATTCTCGATCAACAAAGTTCGAAAATCCAATAAGTTTGTTGCTACTATTTACAATCAGGAAAAAAAAAAAAAAAAAAAAAAAACAACAACAACAACAACAGAAGAATTCCTTGAAGATTAAAGACATCATCCCAAGGGAGTCTTAATGCTATTAATAGATCCTTGGATTTGAAAAGATGGACTATGGCAAGGTTCCGATACGACTGGATTTTCTGTTACTAATACAAAAAGGAAAAGAATAACATACAAGATGGACAGTTTAACATCACATTTGTGTTTATAGAAGAATAGCAAGAAACCAAAGTTTTCTAGCTAACTCCTAATATCTGGGAAGATAAATTGTTCATTCTGTTTTAAACATAGCTGTACAGAATAAATCTACCAAATAGATAACCCATGATCCATACACCGGTCCGAGCAAAAGGAACTCCGTACAAATCCAAAGTTTATAAACTGTAAATTCAATAGTACAAACCTAAGTTACTTAACTGACCTTAGGCAGCATGCTTCCAATCTTGTGTCTATCTTCTCATATGATATACATTATTTCATCATAATTTCCTTAATCGAGTTTATTTACCAAACAGCGTCAACAAATTATGACACAGCATTAAAACAGAGTTGCTTAAAAAACCAATCTAATGGATTCCCCATATACAATCCAGAAACAACACTCAAAGAATATGGATGTCTAGTACGGGTTGTTTATGAAGATACTTCATAATCACTTGGCATTATTCCTCACCGCACCATATTAAGAAAACCAAGCATTCGCAAAAGGGTTTGTAGCTCAATTAGTTAGGAGCGCATACCCCTGCACTCGAGGTCCTCTGTTCAAATCCCCCTCCACGAATATCACGTGTATATATAAACAAAAAAGAAAACCAAGCCCTATTTGCTTCCTATCACTTTGCATTACCCAATTTTAGCTTGTCACTTCATAAATTCCGAGTTGGTAAACGGAACAATGAACTATTTTTTCAAACCCAGAACCAAAATGGAAAATTGCTAACTATTTGTAATACGCAATGCGATCATATGAATTCTAAAGCACATTAACAATTACAAAGTTCGAGAAAGCCGAAAGATTCTAACCAGTAGAGCCTTGGTGGTAAAGCCCGGGGCCTTCGACAAACAAGAATCGACGAAGAACGTCCTCTCGATCCAGACCACATAATCTCAGGTAAGGCTCAGCAGTCTCCGATTGAACGCAACAGAATTTGATCTTCCTGTACTTGTCCGCTTTGATCACCCACTTCACCCCTGTTTTCAACAACATTTCAGACCAAACCCCAATTTCCCATTTCCGATCAAATTGAAAACCCTAGAAATTCATATCCCTCAAAACGCACAAGAAAAGAGAAAGGGGAAATGGGGTTTCTGAAATACCTCCATGGCAGAGATGGCAGACCCCATCGTACACCACGACGCCTGGCTGAAGGAGAGTGGGTTGCACGATCTTCGCAGCCGCGGAAGCAGTCGGGTTACTGTAGACGGGCACGTCATCATCTTCTTCTTCGCCCAGATCAACGACGTTGGCGGCAGTGCTCGAAACGACGTCGCGGGGAGACGGTGAGTTGGAAGAAAATAGACATTTGAACGAAGGAGATGGAGAAGAAAGTGAAGCTCTTGCTTTTGTAAGTTTCGGCAACAATCTGATCAGCCTTGCCGCCGTCATCTTTGGCTCTGGTTTTTTAGGGCTTTTAGCGGCGGCCCCGACTGTCGTTCAAAGTTTGTATTCCCACAGAAAGAAAATGGGATCAGATCATTCTAGAAAGAGATTTTTCAATATGTTCGGTACAAGAAGTGATATACTACGTATTATTATACAAATATTGGGATTTATATGTTAAAATGTTAATAATTTTAAAAATAAAATTTTCCACCACTTACATAAAAACAGATGTACCACATCCGTATTCCCGTCACAATGAAAAATTTCTCTCATTCTAGGGCCATCCGTTTGCTTGGTTTCCAAGTTTTGGGCTGAACATTTTGACTCAATTAATTTGTTTGTTTCACACATTTAATCGTAGCTACACTGGTTAGATCGGATTATTAGTTTAATTTTACACTCCACATATATATTCACTCTTACGTATGTAAAAAATTTTAAGTTTGAATCTCGTGATGATGAATAATTGTTTAAAATTAATTTATTTCCCATTTTTTAAATGTGAATACATTGTGTTTAAAAAAAATTGCTTCTATAAATAAAATAAGGCTAAATCGGATTAATGACCCCCGTGGTGAGAGGGTAATCGGAAGATAGCCGTCATGGTGAAAAAATTCGGATTTAAACTCTCGTAGTGAACTCCGTTAGGATTTAAGCTCAAAATTAACATCTTTCTCGTCTCTCTGTTAACCCATTCCACCTTTATAACCAAAAGAGAAAAAAACTCATTCATCCAAGGTTATGAATTCGTTGATCCATGCTTCAATTCCATTCAAATACTGAAAAATGAAATATTGGGTTGTGAAAACTGACCTACAGATTGAGGATGGTGTGGTTGGAGCCTCTCTGCAGTAAAAGAAGCTTCAGGATTTGTAAAAATAAGAACGAACCGCAATTTGGGTGGTAAATATAAACTTACTCAAACTTTACAAAATCTAAAGGTTAATAAATTACAAGGGATTGGAGCCAAAAGCTTAAAACTTCACAACCCATATCAAATCTCAGCCGCAGATGCCACCCTGAGCATGAAAGCAAGCTCCTTTTTCTGGTTTTATCGTAAAGAAAGCTCCTTTTTTTTCTTCTGGGTATTCTACTTAGAGAAAGAGCTGAAATTTAAAAACTCGCTCGGGTTGAATTAACCCAGAGAACACAAAAAGTGACACTGCTTTGGACCAGAAAATTTAAAATCCAATGAAATCTTTGGGGGGAAGACACCGATTGTTAATTTTGGGTTAACGGAGAGTTCACATAAATGTTAATTTTGACTTAAATTCTAACGGAGTTCACCACAAGAATTTAAATCCAAATTTTTTCACTACGAGGACTATCTTCTGATTACCCTCTCATCCCAAACACCATTAATCCAATTTAGCCATAAAATAAAAAATTACTTGGTTCAATTTGAGTGCAATTCGAACGGGTTGGACAAATTGGATGGCAAACACAATCTAACCCAATTTTAATGTTTGGGTTTGTCATTATTAGCAAAAACGATGACGCGTTGGAACATCCTGCACAGAAATTTTTTGCCATTTTCATTTTTCATGTATAAACCAAAATGTTGTGCATGCCTTCTTTCTTTTGGTTATAATGGAAGAAAACTCACTTAATTTTAAACCATTTGTCCACCCACCCACCCTCACCACTTGAATTATCCTAAAAAATTTATGTAGTATAGACTTTTTGCCTCAGTAATTTGGGTTTTGTCTTCAGTAGTCCAATCTACCAAATAGTCCGACCTTTAAAACAATTTTCACCGTTTAATTTGCAAAGACCATCTCCAACCGAAAAGTTCAGAGGGCTAAAAATAGTCCGAAAACCGTCTCCAACCGAGGGCTAGGCCAGAGGGCTCGTGAGCCCCATGGAATCTGAAAGGGCTAGCCAAAAATTCAAAAAATCATGTCGGTTATAGCTTAAACAAAATATTGAATCCAACGGCTAGTTGATTAGCCGTTGCATTCATTATTTTTTTTTGGGATCAATTTTTTTTGTAAAAAAAAATAAAAAATCTTAAAAATTCTAATTTTTTTCCCCCTATAAATACCTATATCATTCATTAAATTTAAGTATAATTTTTTTGGTTGTTTGGGCTAATTACCGTTGTAGTTTTTAAATTTAAATAATAAATTATGTTTGACATTTTGACCCTCGATTAGAGACTGTTTTTTGTGACAGGGCTAAAACGAGCCATTTAGCCCTCGGTTGGAAACGAAGGCAAATATGATCATGTAATGTTCATTAAAATATTAATATCTTAGATGACCAGATGGTTAAAACAAGTCATCTGGCCAACCATCGATTGGAGATGGTCTAAAGTCAACTTCGGTTACTGGTTAGCTATCTCCCTTTGAAGCCAAAGCAGCTTCTCTGGACCCATATTTTGCGAACACGTCACCGAGCACAGCCTTCTCCTTCACCTTAGCCTACAGCACAAGAAACAATCTTGATGTAATTTACTAATTTTGTCCCTTAAAAAACAAACCAGACTGAAAAGTCTCAGTAAATATGCAGCTGAAACTGATTACCTCCTGGGGGATCCGCCAGTAAGCTGCTTCTTCTTCTTAGGGGAGCTTTCTACTTTCCCTTTCACAACTGGCTTTTGGCGGGGAAGCTTCTCTTCTTTAGCTTTAACAAGTAGCTGGTTAGAGGAGGATGAATCTGCTGATAAAGACTCGGATTCCGTCCATGATTCCATGCTATCTCTGTCTCGTCCATCTAGGTCTGAGCCACTGATAGATTCCAGATTCTCTATGGAATCTTCCAGTTCTGGTTCATCGAGTTCAAAATCAGAGCCGTCGTGTTCATCAACTATGCTCTCCTCCCGTGTGTCCAGGGAAGAATCATCCAAGTCAGAATCAGCTTTCTGATCTTCTTCCAATTCAGAAACAGTTAGTTGACGAGCATTATCGTTATCCGATGATTGTTTTATGGCGTCTTCCAGTTCTGGTCCATCAATCTCAACATCAGAGCCCTCATATTCATCAAGGATAGACTCCTCCGATGTGTCCATGGAACAATTGTCCGAGTCAAAATCAGCTTTATGATCTTCTTCCAATCCAGAAACAATTAGTGGGAGAGCACTACGGTTATTCGTTGATTGTATTTTATCCAAATTCAGCGGTGGCGTATCTAAGCTCACATTTTATCTGCTTTTGAATCTTACCAAATGTAACACTCTGCGAAGAAAACATCTCAACGAAACTGCCATGATAGAAAAACCAATCAACTCGTATGTAACAGAAAACCGGCATTGTAATAAAATTTAGACCACAATGCATACAACCAAGATTCAAAAGTAAATGCTGGTATCCATATGCTTGATAGTATTCTCAACTGTCAACATTCATACTTAAAACGGTGCCCTATCAGGTATTTCACAACCACACATATCCACATAGCCCGAAAACTTCCGCACCCTTCTTGTCAGTCACTACCTTTCTTCATGTTTCTTTTTTTAAAGAGACGATATTCTACTACTGTATTCACAATGACGGGATTCGAACTCTATATCTACATTAAAGGGATTTAAACTCAGGTACAATTCAATGGTTGCATTCTCAAATTAGAATTCCATTTCATAAACCCTAAACCCGCACATACCTAGTTGCATCGTTCTCCGTCTTGAAATGAACCCCTACAAATGGGGTCCTTAGTTTTGTTTCCGGAGACCGCACGGTTTATGCTAACCAAACCGGAGACTCCCGACCCGCTACTTCTCGAGGCGTGGACAGCAAGAAAACCGATAAGCGCGTGGTGGGTTTGTCGAAAGAAGCTGGTTTTGAAAATGGCGGTGTGGAGGGAGGCAGTTGAAGAAGATGGGTGCGGGAAGACGAAACCCAATTGGGATTTGTGTGGTGGGAATGAGAGGGCGGCAGCGAGAAGGGATTTGGAAGTGCACGGAGGTGGAAACCTGCCGGTGCTTATCATCTTTACCGCTCAGTCCCCGCTTCCTGTTTCTCTTTGCTCACCCTGCTACTGAGCAAGTGGATCAACCGCTTTGGTATTAGCCACACATATAATTTAATATTAAAATTGAGAAATAATTGCATCAAGGTTTCGTGGTGTAGTTGGTTATCACGTCAGTCTAACACACTGAAGGTCTCCGGTTCGAACCCGGGCGAAGCCATGAATTTTGAAAGTAAATCAAATTTTTTGAGTTGGACTCTTTTGAGGCTTTCTTCAGTTGGGCTGGGTTTAGAGCAAACGAATTATTTATTGGGTTTGGTTGCTCTTTCATACGGTACCCAACCAATTTTTCAAGGTTTGTTATTTTATTTTATTTTCGACAAACGACATTGTTTATAGATTAAATTGTTAGTTGATAGAAGGAAGGAGAATTAGTAAAGATCGAATCTGCACCAAAGTACATATGCATCATTACCTTCTTGCACTGTGATAAAACATCATCTGCAAGCTTGTTAATGTCTAAGACGTTAAGGAAAATATTATTTTCTACCCTTTAGGCCGCACAGTCTCTGCCTTGTTTGGCAATATTTTCTATTCTCAAATTTATTTTTTTGATATGAAAATAAGTCGACTCATCAGAGAATCAGAAGGCATTATTTAGTAGTATTGTTTAAAATATCGGTATTGGTAGAAATATTGATAGGTAAATTTGTGGAAATATCAATGGATATATCGTATATCGATATCAATTGTCTTTGATGGAAATGATGAAAATTTTCTCAAAAACATGGAAATTTATAATTATTTTTTAGGGAATGTCATATGAAGTCACAACACACGTATGAATCAAGAATTAATGATTAGATAATGTGTAAACAATAAGTATGTGATATGTGAGAAGAAAAACTTCCTTATGATGACAAGTAATAAAATAAAGCATTTCACTATAAAGAATAAATTATACATAACTTCATTAAAATTTTCGTGATGAAAGCAGCACAAGTTTTATTGAAGTAAGCTAATACCATAAAGAAAGAAATTAAAAAAAATAAAGAATGCATAGGCTCATGGATATTTCCTGCAAACTTTTTGCAAATTGTCTGCAAACACTAGATATTCTCTGGAAATATAAAAAATATCAAGGAAATTGACCGATTTCCTGAAATATCCTGGATATGAGGTGAAGTTTAGACTTCCACCCTTCTTGTCATATCGTTCCCTAAATTTTTAGATATTTATGTGGAAATATCGAACATATCCATGATATTTCAAACACTGTTTAGTAGAAACAACACAAGTAAATTGTAGCAATGTTCCCTTAACTTTAATCAAATTGGAACAATGCTCCCTCAACTAAAAATCCATTATGATTGGTCCCTCAACTCATCAAAATATGCAGCTATGATCATTTTTGTCAACTTCGTTAGAATTTTGTCAAAATAAGTTATGTTGGAAGGATCATTGCTACAATTGGATTAAAGTTGAGGGATCATTGTTCCAATTAGGTTAAATTTGAGGGACCATTTCTCCAGTTAGATTAAAGTTAAGGGACCAATGGTAATGAATTTTTAGTTAATGGACCATAACTGCACGTTTTGATGAGTTGAGGAACCAATGATAATGAATTTTTAGTTGATGGACCATTGCTCCAATTAAGTTAAAATTAAAGGATTATTGCTACAATTTACTCAAACAACACAGAAGTCAGCATCAAGCATGGACTTGGCAATATAAAAAATAGAGCAAGACGCTCCCCCGGTGCTGAGGGTCATGGTTCCACCTTCCATTTCCAACCATGTTTACTTGTTGGCATTAGGATTAGGTGAGTGACAGCTTTCCATCGCTCTCCAATCTTTAATTATCACTTGTTTGACATTTTAGTTGAAACGTATGAATATGATTGATCATCCATATACTAAATACTGATAAATCATAATTAGAGGTCTAGTATTTTTGTTCTTTTCTATATACCAAATTATTAGTTTTTTATTTGAGAAATCGGTTAAAATGATTCGAAATCAAATTTGTTGTTGAACTGATCAAAATCAAATATAAATGACATATTGGTTGGATATGAATGACATAGCAGTGAAATGCTGATGACATAACCATCACATATCAATGATAAACTGAAAACTAATTGTTTCAAATGAAGCACTACTAGCTCTATTAGTTTTTATCTAAAATCGGTTAAAAACGATGAGAAATCAAATTTCTATTGTTGACCTAATCATAATCAAATATAGACTACATATTGGTCGAATATGAATGACATATCGATGAAATATTAATGAAAATAACATTCACATATCAATGATATACTGAAAACTAATCGTTTCAAATGAAGCTGGTTTTGAGCTTTCTTATCCAATATCCAGCAAGCAAGTTAACAACTAATTAGTTATTATAACACTACTAGCAATTTTCATTATTTAATTGTCTTCTATCAAACATGAGAAGAGTTGTAATCAAGGACAAGCCGGTTTTGTCAGTTGCATGACAAAGATGCAACTTCTGAATCCATTATTTTGGCGTATGGGGGCTTTTGACACCATCAACTCAAATATAAATTAAAATAAATCAAGGTAACATAATTAATCTACTACCTAGTTCTAGCCAATTCACAAAGAAGACAGATTGTTAATCATGTTGTTAATTTTGAGAGTCCTTATGGAATCATTTACTTATTGATACATATTCCCCAAAATCATGATTAGTTGCACTAGAGTTTAGAATTAAGCAATGGTCAAATTTCTTACAAACCTAGCTAATATTCCAAAACATATAGTTTTACGTACGTAAGTCTTTTAAGTCATTTGGTTAAAATATTGTGTGCTTTCTTTTGTAGCCAAGTTCGAGGTTCATTTTTCAAATTTAGAATAGAATATCATTTGGTGAAAAAAAAAAAGACCAAAACTTCTAAAGGAAGTGTATTATGGGTCCTGTGTTTGAGTCTAAAACTAAAAGCACAGCTAAGAAAGGAACTGATACCAGAATTCAAAGGCACTAAAACATACTCTTTTGATTTTTATTTGATTTGATTAATTAATTAATTAATTTCAGCATCAATGGAGTCTATTCATCCCAAATCTAGCTTATTCTTCAATCATTCTAACCAAAAAAAAAAAAGGAAAAATAATGCCCTCTCTCCAATAATCTTTGTCTGAGAGTGGTAGATAATACAAGGCCGAAGCGGATAAAAAGGAGAAAAAATCAAAAGCAAAAAAACAGTGCTGAACCCACTTTGTGTTTAATTTACAATTTTAGGACATGTCATGGGGCAGCAGAGTTGGACATACACACAGAGCTAGCAGACTAGCAGTGGTACCTATGAGGCTGTAACCTTTGACCAAGTGCTTAGAAGAAATAAGGTACACGTAGAGAACTCATCAGATTTTTTTTTTTTTTTCTCATCGCAAACATGGTGATTCTTGATAATACTTATTTCATCGCGATGTATCTTCTTCTTTAACACTCGTTACGTAATGCATGTAACAAGCGTAATAGGAACTCATAGTTTTACTTTCAGAGTGAAGTCTTCTGACATTTTAGATCATACAATAAATTTGTATAACTGTTAAGCTGTACGTTAGAAAAGTAATAAAAGGAAGAAAACAAGGGTTCAATTATTTTGGACAAGAGACAGATGAATTGAGCTGAATTTTCAGGGAGGGTTGGGCCATGGAAAGTAGGGCTGTGAACTAGATATATACATCAACCTGCTGCATGTATGGGGCATGCATGCACAGCAGCGAGTTCACAAAAGTCTAAAAAACTTCAAATGGCCACCTAATATTCCGGTCACACACAGTTACCATTTTACAACCAGCTACTTGCTCAATTCCTTTTTTCCTATATATATACACATATACATACATATTATATACATATAATATATATATATATATAAGGAAATTAACGTGAGAATTTAAACGACGGTGGTACGTCATGACGACGGTGGTAATGATGGGGTTCGTGACTATGGTGATGCATAGTAGGGGGGATAATGTTAGCATTGACATTGGAAAAAGTCGATCGCGCGACATTGCTAGTGCAAGTGCAGTACACATCCGTGACACTGATGACAGCCAATCCACAAGCCTTTTTTTTTTTTGTAATTAACCTATTCTTTCGAGCAACAAGCTCCGAAAGTTGTTGTACATCAAAGAGGAAAGAAGACAAATTCGGGTTCTATGAATCGGCCTTAGAGCAACTCTAGCGGGAGCTGAAGCTCGATGGACCGGCGACAAAAATGACCCGATAGTCCCAGCAATTTGCTCCAGCCCATGTAGGCAATGGGGCTCGGGGGAGGCCCGAGTGAGAGGCCCGAGTGAGAGGCCCGGCT